TCTACTGTACCAACGACATATACATACTACTGTACCAACACATACTACATACTACTGTACAACGACTACTACATATAGTACAACATACTACATACTACTGTACCAACGACAACTACATATACTGTACAACTACATCTCATACTGACCATACGATACTATTACTGTACCAATAATACTACTGTACCAACTACATACTACATACTACTGTACCAACTACATAGTACATACTACATACTACTGTACCAACTACATACTACATACTACTGTACCAACAACACTACATACTACTGTACAACGCATACTACATACTATGTACACTCATACTACTGTACCAACTACATACTACATACTACTGTACCAACTACATAGTACATACTACATACTACTGTACCAACTACATAGTACATACTACATTCTACTGTACCAACTACATAATACATACCACTGTACCAACTACATAGTAAATACTACTGTAACAACTACATAGTACATACTACATACTACTGTACCAACTACACACTACATACTACATACTACTGTGCCAACTACATAGTACATACTACATACTACTGTACCAACTACATACTACATACTAATGTACCAACTACATAGTACATACTACATACTACTGTACCAACTACATGCTACATGCTACTGTACCAACTGCATACTATTGTATCAACTACATAGTACATACCACTGTACCAACTACATACTACATACCACTGTACCAATTACATAGTACATACTACATACTACTGTACCAACTACATACTAATACTACTGTACCAACTACATGCTACTGTACCAACTACATACTACATACCACTGTACCAACTACATAGTACATACCACTGTACCAACTACATAGTACATACTACTGTACCAACGACATACTACATACTACTGTACCAACAACATACTACATACTACTGTACCAACGACATACTACATACTACTGTACCAACTACATACTACATACTACTGTACCAAACTACATACTACGTACCAACAACATACTACATACTACTGTACCAACGACATAACATACTACTGTACACTACTACTACTGCATACTACATACTTGTACCAATACTATAGTACATACTACATACTACTGTACCAAATAAATTGAGTACATACTACATTCTACTGTACCAACTACATAATACATACCACTGTACCAACTACATAGTAAATACTACTGTAACAACTACATAGTACATACTACATACTACTGTACCAACTACACACTACATACTACATTTACTACTGTGCCAACTACATAGTACATACTACATACTACTGTACCAACTACATACTACATACTAATGTACCAACTACATAGTACATACTACATACTACTGTACCAACTACATGCTACATGCTACTGTACCAACTGCATATATTGTATCAACTGACATAGTACATACCCACTGTACCAACGACATACTACATACCAACTGTACCAATTACATAGTACATACTACATACTACTGTACCAACTACATACTAATACTACTGTACCAACTACATGCTACTGTACCAACTACATACTACATACCACTGTACCAACTACATAGTACATACCACTGTACCAACTACATAGTACCTACTATGTATCCAACCGAATACTACCTACTGTACCAACAACATACTACATACTACTGTACCAACGACATACTACATACTACTGTACCAACGACATACTACATACTACTGTACCAACAACATACTACATACTACTGTACCAACGACATACTACATACTACTGTACCAACTACATACTACATACTACTGTACCAACGACATACTACATACTACTGTACCAACAACATACTACATACTACTGTACCAACGACATACTACATACTACTGTACCAACTACATACTACATACTACTGTACCAACGACATACTACATACTACTGTACCAACAACATACTACATACTACTGTACCAACGACATACTACATACCACTGTACCAACTACATACTACATACCACTGTATCAACTACATACTACATACCACTGTACCAACTACATAAGAGGTCATACAATACGTTTTGTAGTGATTCTTACGTTGATGATGTAAAGAATATTTGTTGGTCCGTGGTGTGTAATGACGCTGCACTTGACACATTTCTGAAATTGCTTATCACAGCATGCACCCATTAAGAAAATGACTGTAAAAACGGTTAAATCCCAGTGGAACGATGAGGAATTGAACAATTTTATGGTTGAGCGGGATGAGGCAAAATAAATGGCAAATAAGTCTGGCTGCACAACCGATTGGCAAACATATTGCAAACTGAGAAATCATGTGACTAAACTGAATAAAAAGAAGAAGAAACTACACTATGAAACAAAGATAAATGACATAAAGAATGATAGTAAAAAGCTTTGGAGCACCTTAAATGAAATGTTGGGCAAAAAGGCAAACTCGGCTCCATCATTCATTGAATCAGATGGCTCATTCATCACAAAATCCACTGATATTGCCAATTACTTTAATGATTTTTTCACTGGCAAGATTAGCAAATTTAGGCATGACATGCCAGCAACAAACGCTTACACTACATATCCAAGTATAGCTCACCAAATTGTGAAAGACAAGCATTGTGATTTTGAATTCCGTAAATTGAGTGTGGAAGAGGTGAAAAAATTAAAGGGCTGCGCTACCTTCTTAACAGCACTATCAACAAGGCAGGTCCTACAGGCCCTAGTTTTGTCGCACCTGGACTACTGTTCAGTCGTGTGGTCAGGTGCCACAAAAAGGACTTAGGAAAATTACAATTGGCACAGAACAGGGCAGCACGGCTGGCCCTTAAATGTACACGGAGAGCTAATATTAATAATATGCATGTAAATCTCTCCTGGCTCAAAGTGGAGGAGAGATTGACTTCGTCCCTACTTGTTTTTGTAAGAGGTGTTGACAAGCTGAATGTACCGAGGTGTCTGTTTAAACTACTATCACACAGCTCGGAAACCCATGCATACCCCACAAGACATGCCACCAGAGGTCTCTTCACAGTCCCCAAGTCCAGAACAGACTATGGGAGGCGCACAGTACTACATAGAGCCATGACTACATGGAACTCTATGGGGATCCATAATAAACCCCAGGAAGAGTAGCTGTTGCCTTGGCAGGAACTAATGGGGATCCATAATAAACCCCAGGAAGAGTAGCTGCTGCCTTGGCAGGAACTAATGGGGATCCGTAATAAACCCCAGGAAGAGTAGCTGCTGCCTTGGCAGGAACTAATGGGGATCCATAATAAATACATGTTAAAGCATCCATCTTGATGTACTACAGCACATGTTAAAGCATCCATCTTGATGTACTACAGCATATGTTAACACAAAAACCGCTAGGCCTCGAGGAACCCCCCTTCAAGCTAATGAGCAGTCATTCTAACAGTGTAATTAATACATTGCATATATGCTTTCACAAAAATAATGATTTGGTTGTGTTTATGAAGGTCTAAGGTAACATTAGAATACGATTTTTATTTTATTTCAAATACCACAATAGCATTTTCATTAGTTTATGTTACTGTAGGCTATATGTAAAATTCAAGTGTTCAGTACATTGTATTTGTGGCGTGCCTTGGCCTGTGCCTTTGCCTTGGCCTTGGCCTTTTGTTTGTTAAAACTATAAAACAGAAAGCGTATGTGTTGGAACACGGTAACAGCTTATTTTTATAACAACCAAATTAGCAAGACGCACGGGGTCAGCAAGACGCACGGGGTCAGCAAGACGCACGGGGTCAGCAAGACGCACGGTCAGCAAGACGCACGGTCAGCAAGACGCACGGGGTCAGCAAGACACACGGGGTCAGCAAGACGTACAGTCAGCAAGACACACGGTCAGCAAGACGCACGGGGTCAGCAAGACACACGGTCAGCAAGACACACGGTCAGCAAGACGCACGGTCAGCAAGACACACGGTCAGCAAGACGCACGGTCAGCAAGACGCACGGGGTCAGCAAGACGCACGGTCAGCAAGACGCACGGGGTCAGCAAGACGCACGGGGTCAGCAAGACGCACAGGGTCAGCAAGACGCACGGTCAGCAAGACGCACGGTCAGCAAGACGCACGGGGTCAGCAAGACGCACGGGGTCAGCAAGACGCACGGGGTCAGCAAGACGCACAGGGTCAGCAAGACGCACGGTCAGCAAGGCATGGTCAGCAAGGCATGGTCAGCAAGACGCACGAGGTCAGCAAGACGCACGGGGTCAGCAAGACGCACGGGGTCAGCAAGACGCACGGGGTCAGCAAGATGCACAGTCAGCAAGACGCACGGTCAGCAAGACGCACGGGGTCAGCAAGACGCACGGTCAGCAAGACGCACGGGGTCAGCAAGACGCACGGTCAGCAAGACGCACGGTCAGCAAGACGCACGGGGTCAGCAAGACGCACGGGTCAGCAAGACGCACGGGGTCAGCAAGACGCACGGGGTCAGCAAGACGCACGGTCAGCAAGACGCACGGTCAGCAAGACGCACGGGGTCAGCAAGACGCACGGTCAGCAAGACGCACGGTCAGCAAGACGCACGGGGTCAGCAAGACGCACGGGGTCAGCAAGACGCACGGTCAGCAAGACGCACGAGGTCAGCAAGACGCACGGTCAGCAAGACGCACGGTCAGCAAGACGCACGAGGTCAGCAAGACGCACGGTCAAATGATGAAAGGCAGGTGATGAGCTTGAGGGCACTAATCAGCCTTTGCAGGGAGCTGACTCCTTCAAGTCTCAGTCAGTCAATGACTTCTCACTAGAATCAAACCTGTTCCTTCTTGAATCTCAGGGTGCAGAGTCTGCAGAAAAAATCCACTATGAATGGGAAGATGTCCCCTATGTTACTATAGGCCTTTCAGTCAAATAACTTTTGCTCTGTAATAATCTCTTATGGACAGAACAACATTAATCGAGCATCTGCCGCTATAATGCATGATTTCTGTTAACTGTGTAATAATGAATCTCTGTGTGTTGTCTCAGTTTATAGACAGTGACACAAGCAACGATGGCTATGTGGACACAGACGAGGAGGTGTCCAATGGGAGGGTGAACCTACTGAGCGGCTCTGGGCCTCCATACTTCCACAGCTACCTCTACATGAAGGGTGAGTACTGGGCCTCCATACTTCCACAGCTACCTCTACATGAAGGGTGAGTACTGAGTAACCTCGTCCCCAGGGCGCATAGAGCCTGGTAACAAGTGTGCAACAAATTGGGACTTGAGGTGGCTGCTGTTAAAATGGAGGCGGGAGAGGGAGAAAGCCTGTTACAGCTGTATTAGATTGGACTGGAAAATCACCAATCAAAATAAATGGTCTATCACAGCGACCATGTTATTTTTGGAGAGCCCAATTTGATTCTGAGTACAGGCATATAACATTTATATGTGAAAACTATTTCTTAGATGCATACTTTCCAATTTCCCGAACTCCCTTGTTTAGCCCATTACTTGCGCTGCTCGCCCTTTGAAATCCACAAAGAGGGGGAGGTGCTAGATGGTGATGGACTGATAGATCAGCCAATTAAAACCAGCAGCTGTTTTTGCCGCTCCTGTCATAGACTGCCATTCAAGTCCCGTTCTGAGGCGCTCTGAAACCAGACGTCTGGATAGAGAGAGCCAGCCGGTGGGCAAGATTAAGTACTGAGTACATTTACCAAACCACTGGCCAACAGGCATGTAGGGGTTTCATGTTGCACTGAAGACTGTGTTGTAGTGTTGTGGTCCTCTGGTTGGCTGGTATACCAACAGAGACCAGTAAGTCCTCTGGCTGGTATACCAACAGAGACCAGTAAGTCGTATGGTTGGCTGGTATACCAACAGAGACCAGTAAGTCCTCTGGTTGGCTGGTATACCAACAGAGACCAGTAAGTCCTCTGGTTGGCTGGTATACCAACATAGACCAGTAAGTCCTCTGGCTGGCTGGTATACCAACAGAGACCAGTAAGTCCTCTGGCTGGTATACCAACAGAGACCAGTAAGTCGTATGGTTGGCTGGTATACCAACAGAGACCAGTAAGTCCTCTGGCTGGTTGGCTGGTATACCAACAGAGACCAGTAAGTCCTCTGGCTGGCTGGTATACCAACAGAGACCAGTAAGTCCTCTGGCTGGTATACCAACAGAGACCAGTAAGTCACATGGTTGGCTGGTATACAAACAGAGACCAGTAAGTCCTCTGGTTGGCTGGTATACCAACAGAGACCAGTAAGTCTTACCAACAGAGACCAGCGGCAGCCAGAGGACTTACTGGTCTCTGTTGGTATACCAGCCAGCCAGAGGACTTACTGGTCTCTGTTGATATACCAGCCAGCCAGAGGACTTACTGGTCTCTGTTGGTATACCAGCCAGCCAGAGGACTTACTGGTCTCTGTTGGTATACCAGCCAACCAGAGGACTTACTGGTCTCTGTTGGTATACCAGCCAACTAGAGGACTTACTGGTCTCTGTTGGTATACCATCCAGCCAGCCAGAGGACTTACTGGACTCTGTTGGTATACTAGCCAGCTAGCCAGAGGACTTACTGGTCTCTGTTGGTATACCGGCTAGCCAGCCAGAGGACTTACTGGTCTCTGTTGGTATACCAGCCAACCAGCCAGAGGACTTACTGGTCTCTGTTGGTATACCAGCCAGCCAGCCAGAGGACTTACTGGTCTCTGTTGGTATACCAGCCAGCCAGCCAGAGGACTTACTGGTCTCTGTTGGTATACCAGCCAGCCAGAGGACTTACTGGTCTCTGTTGGTATACCAGCCAGCCAAAGGACTTACTGGTCTCTGTTGGTATACCAGCCAACCAGAGGACTTACTGGTCTCTGTTGGTATACCAGCCAGCCAGCCAGAGGACTTACTGGTCTCTGTTGGTATATCAGCCAACCAGCAGACTTACTGGTCTCTGTTGGTATAAAAGCCAGCCAGAGGACTTACTGGTCTCTTTTGGTATACCAGCCAGCCAGAGGACTTACTGGTCTCTGTTGGTATACCAGCCAGCCAGAGGACTTACTGGTCTCTGTTGGTATACCAGCCAACCAGCAGACTTACTGGTCTCTGATGGTATAAAAGCCAGTAAGTCCTCTGGCTGGCTGGCTGGTATACCAACAGAGACCAGTAAGTCCTCTGGCTGGCTGGCTGGTATACCAACAGAGACCAGTAAGTCCTCTGGCTGGCTGACTGGTATACCAACAGCGACCAGTAAGTCCTCTGGCTAGCTGGCTGGCTGGTATACCAACAGAGACCAGTAAGTATTCTGGCTGGCTGGTACACCAACAGAGACCAGTAAGTCCTCTGGCTGGCTGGCTGGTATACCAACAGAGACCAGTAAGTCCTCTGGCTGGCTGGCTGGTATACCAACAGAGACCAGTAAGTCCTCTGGCTGGCTGACTGGTATACCAACAGCGACCAGTAAGTCCTCTGGCTGGCTGGCTGGTATACCAACAGAGACCAGTAAGTCCTCTGGTTGGCTGGTATACCAACAGAGACCAGTAAGTCCTCTGGCTGGCTGGTATACCAACAGAGACCAGTAAGTCCTCTGGTTGGCTGGTATACCAACAGAGACCAGTAAGTCGTCTGGTTGGCTGGTATACCAACAGAGACCAGTAAGTCGTCTGGTTGGCTGGTATACCAACAGAGACCAGTAAGTCCTCTGGCTGGTTGGCTGGTATACCAACAGAGACCAGTAAGTCTTCTGGCTGGCTGGTATACCAACAGAGACCAGTAAGTCCTCTGGTTGGCTGGTATACCAACAGAGACCAGTAAGTCGTCTGGCTGGATGGCTGGTATACCAACAAAGACCAGTAAGTCTTCTGGCTGGCTGGTACACCAACAGAGACCAGTAAGTCCTCTGGCTGGCTGGCTGGTATACCAACAGAGACCAGTATGTCCTCTGGCTGGTTGGCTGGTATACCAACAGAGACCAGTAAGTCCTCTGGCTGGCTAGCCGGTATACCAACAGAGACCAGTAAGTCCTCTGGCTAGCTGGCTAGTATACCAACAGAGACCAGTAAGTCCTCTGGCTGGCTGGATGGTATACCAACAGAGACCAGTAAGTCCTCTAGTTGGCTGGTATACCAACAGAGACCAGTAAGTCCTCTGGTTGGCTGGTATACCAACAGAGACCAGTAAGTCCTCTGGCTGGCTGGAATACCAACAGAGACCAGTAAGTCATCTGGCTGGCTGGTATACCAACAGAGACCAGTAACTCCTCTGGCTGGCTGGTATATCAACAGAGACCAGTAAGTCCTCTGGCTGGCTGGTATACCAACAGAGACAAGTAAGTCTTCTGGCTGGCTGGTATTCCAACAGAGACCAGTAAGTCCTCTGGTTGGCTGGTATACCAACAGAGACCAGTAAGTCCTCTGGCTGGCTGGCTGGTATACCAACAGAGACCAGTAAGTCCTCTGGCTGGCTGGCTGGTATACCAACAGAGACCAGTAAGTCCTCTGGCTGGTTGGCTGGTATACCAACAGAGACCAGTAAGTCCTCTGGCTGGCTGGAATACCAACAGAGACCAGTAAGTCATCTGGCTGGCTGGCTGGTACACCAACAGAGACCAGTAAGTCCTCTGGCTGGCTGGCTGGTATACCAACAGAGACCAGTAAGTCCTTTGGCTGGCATACCAACAGAGACCAGTAAGTCCTCTGGCTGGCTGGTATACCAACAGAGACCAGTAAGTTGTCTGGCTGGCTGGTATACCAACAGAGACCAGTAAGTCCTCTGGCTGGCTGGCTGGTATACCAACAGAGACCAGTAAGTCCTTTGGCTGGCATACCAACAGAGACCAGTAAGTCCTCTGGCTGGCTGGTATACCAACAGAGACCAGTAAGTTGTCTGGCTGGCTGGTATACCAACAGAGACCAGTAAGTTGTCTGGCTGGCTGGTATACCAACAGAGACCAGTAAGTCCTCTGGCTGGATGGCTGGTATACCAACAGAGACCAGTAAGTCCTTTGGCTGGCATACCAACAGAGACCAGTAAGTCCTCTGGCTGGCTGGTATACCAACAGAGACCAGTAAGTTGTCTGGCTGGCTGGTATACCAACAGAGACCAGTAAGTTGTCTGGCTGGCTGGTATACCAACAGAGACCAGTAAGTCCTCTGGTTGGCTGGTATACCAACAGAGACCAGTAAGTCCTCTGGCTGGCTGGTATACCAACAGAGACCAGTAAATTGTCTGGCTGGCTGGTATACCAACAGAGACCAGTAAGTCCTCTGGTTGGCTGGTATACCAACAGAGACCAGTAAGTCCTCTGGCTGGCTGGTATACCAACAGAGACCAGTAAGTTGTCTGGCTGGCTGGTATACCAACAGAGACCAGTAAGTCCTCTGGCTGGCTGGTATACCAACAGAGACCAGTAAGTCCTCTGGCTGGCTGGTATACCAACAGAGACCACTAAGTTGTCTGGCTGGCTGGTATACCAACAGAGACCAGTAAGTCCTCTGGCTGGCTGGTATACCAACAGAGACCAGTAAGTTGTCTGGCTGGCTGGTATACCAACAGAGACCAGTAAGTCCTCTGGCTGGCTGGTATACCAACAGAGACCAGTAAGTTGTCTGGCTGGCTGGTATACCAACAGAGACCAGTAAGTTGTCTGGCTGGCTGGTATACCAACAGAGACCAGTAAGTTGTCTGGCTGGCTGGTATACCAACAGAGACCAGTAAGTCCTCTGGCTGGCTGGTATACCAACAGAGACCAGTAAGTCCTCTGGCTGGCTGGTATACCAACAGAGACCAGTAAGTTGTCTGGCTGGCTGGTATACCAACAGAGAGTGGTCTTTTGTGTTTTCGCCTGTGAACCTCTTCCTTTAACGATCTACAAAAACTGCAACATTTATATTCTCTCTCTCTCTCTCTCTAAAGAACTTAGTAATAACTGCTGATGTAAAAAGGGCTTTATACATTGATTGATTGGCTGGTTGATATTTTCCCCCTTGTCCAGGTGGTCTGATGATCCCGTGGAGACGGCGGTGGTGTGTGTTAAAGGATGAGGTCTTCATGTGGTTCAGGGCTAAGCAAGACAGTCTGAAGAGTGGCTGGCTGTCTAAGAAGGGAGGTGGCATGTCCACTCTGTCCAGAAGGAACTGGAAGCAGCGCTGGTTCGTACTGAGAGAAGATAAACTCATGTACTTTGAGAACGACAGCGAGGAGAAACTGAAGGGGACCATCGACATCCGCTCCGCCAAGTAAGAACCTGCTCCCATATCTGATGAAACGCACTGTAGGCTAACCTAACATTCACCTCCTAGCCTGCGTTCACACAGGCAGACAGATTCAGATATTTTTTTCCACTAATTGGTATTTTGACAAATCACGTCAGTCTTTTCACATCAAATCTTTTTCAGCTGGTCTGATTGGTCAAAAGACCAATTAGTGAAAATAATATAATAATTGGGCTGGCTGTGTAAACACATCCATAGTGGTTCTTTCCAGTAACAGTTTATTTTCTCGTGATTTCACTTTTTAGAACTCTGGCAAAAACTAATCTTATACATTACTAGCTGAATACATTACTAGCTGAACACATTAGTAGATGAATACATTATTAGATGAATACATTACTAACTGAATACATTATTAACTGAATACATTATTAGATGAATACATTACTAGATGAATACATTATTAGATGAATACATTATTAGATGAATACATTACTAACTGAATACATTGCTAGATTAATTTCTTTAGAGACTGCTCCACTGTCTACAGGGACATAGTGGATAACCTGTCTCTAACCTGTGGTGTCCCCATCCCACTGGTCTACAAGGGACATAGTGGATACCTGTCTCAACCTGTGGTGTCCCATCCCACTGTCTACAGGGACAAGGGAACCCCCTGTGGTGTCCCCCATCCCACTGTCCTACAGGGACCTAGTGGATAAACCTGTCCTCTAACCGGTGGGGTCCCCATCCCACTGTCTACAGGGACATAGTGGATAACCTGTCGCTAACCTGTGGTGTCCCCATCCCCTGTCCTACAAGGGACATAGTGGATAACCTGTCCTCTAACACCTGTGGGGTCCCCCATCCCACTGTCTACAGGGGACATAGTGGGATAACCTGTCCCTAACCTGTGGGTGTCCCCATCCCACTGTCTACAGGGACATAGTGGATAACCTGTCTCTAACCTGTGGTGTCCCCATCCCACTGTCTACAGGGACATAGTGGATAACCTGTCTCTAACCTGTGGTGTCCCATCCCACTGTCTACAGGGACATAGTGGATAACCTGTCTCTAACCTGTGGTGTCCCCATCCCACTGTCTACAGGGACATAGTGGATAACCTGTCTCTAACCTGTGGTGTCCCCATCCCACTGTCTACAGGGACATAGTGGATAACCTGTCTCTAACCTGTGGTGTCCCCATCCCACTGTCTACAGGGACATAGTGGATAACCTGTCTCTAACCTGTGGTGTCCCCATCCCACTGTCTACAGGGACATAGTGGATAACCTGTCTCTAACCTGTGGTGTCCCCATCCCACTGTCTACAGGGACATAGTGGATAACCTGTCTCTAACCTGTGGTGTCCCCATCCCACTGTCTACAGGGACATAGTGGATAACCTGTCTCTAACCTGTGGTGTCCCCATCCCACTGTCTACAGGGACATAGTGGATAACCTGTCTCTAACCTGTGGTGTCCCCATCCCACTGTCTACAGGGACATAGTGGATAACCTGTCTCTAACCTGTGGTGTCCCCATCCCACTGTCTACAGGGACATAGTGGATAACCTGTCTCTAACCTGTGGTGTCCCCATCCCACTGTCTACAGGGACATAGTGGATAACCTGTCTCTAACCTGTGGTGTCCCCATCCCACTGTCTACAGGGACATAGTGGATAACCTGTCTCTAACCTGTGGTGTCCCCATCCCACTGTCTACAGGGACATAGTGGATAACCTGTCTCTAACCTGTGGTGTCCCCATCCCACTGTCTACAGGGACATAGTGGATAACCTGTCTCTAACCTGTGGTGTCCCCATCCCACTGTCTACAGGGACATAGTGGATAACCTGTCTCTAACCTGTGGTGTCCCCATCCCACTGTCTACAGGGACATAGTGGATAACCTGTCTCTAACCTGTGGTGTCCCCATCCCACTGTCTACAGGGACATAGTGGATAACCTGTCTCTAACCTGTGGTGTCCCCATCCCACTGTCTACAGGGACATAGTGGATAACCTGTCTCTAACCTGTGGTGTCCCCATCCCACTGTCTACAGGGACATAGTGGATAACCTGTCTCTAACCTGTGGTGTCCCCATCCCACTGTCTACAGGGACATAGTGGATAACCTGTCTCTAACCTGTGGTGTCCCCATCCCACTGTCTACAGGGACATAGTGGATAACCTGTCTCTAACCTGTGGTGTCCCCATCCCACTGTCTACAGGGACATAGTGGATAACCTGTCTCTAACCTGTGGTGTCCCCATCCCACTGTCTACAGGGACATAGTGGATAACCTGTCTCTAACCTGTGGTGTCCCCATCCCACTGTCTACAGGGACATAGTGGATAACCTGTCTCTAACCTGTGGTGTCCCCATCCCACTGTCTACAGGGACATAGTGGATAACCTGTCTCTAACCTGTGGTGTCCCCATCCCACTGTCTACAGGGACATAGTGGATAACCTGTCTCTAACCTGTGGTGTCCCCATCCCACTGTCTACAGGGACATAGTGGATAACCTGTCTCTAACCTGTGGTGTCCCCATCCCACTGTCTACAGGGACATAGTGGATAACCTGTCTCTAACCTGTGGTGTCCCCATCCCACTGTCTACAGGGACATAGTGGATAACCTGTCTCTAACCTGTGGTGTCCCCATCCCACTGTCTACAGGGACATAGTGGATAACCTGTCTCTAACCTGTGGTGTCCCCATCCCACTGTCTACAGGGACATAGTGGATAACCTGTCTCTAACCTGTGGTGTCCCCATCCCACTGTCTACAGGGACATAGTGGATAACCTGTCTCTAACCTGTGGTGTCCCCATCCCACTGTCTACAGGGACATAGTGGATAACCTGTCTCTAACCTGTGGTGTCCCCATCCCACTGTCTACAGGGACATAGTGGATAACCTGTCTCTAACCTGTGGTGTCCCCATCCCACTGTCTACAGGGACATAGTGGATAACCTGTCTCTAACCTGTGGTGTCCCCATCCCACTGTCTACAGGGACATAGTGGATAACCTGTCTCTAACCTGTGGTGTCCCCATCCCACTGTCTACAGGGACATAGTGGATAACCTGTCTCTAACCTGTGGTGTCCCCATCCCACTGTCTACAGGGACATAGTGGATAACCTGTCTCTAACCTGTGGTGTCCCCATCCCACTGTCTACAGGGACATAGTGGATAACCTGTCTCTAACCTGTGGTGTCCCCATCCCACTGTCTACAGGGACATAGTGGATAACCTGTCTCTAACCTGTGGTGTCCCCATCCCACTGTCTACAGGGACATAGTGGATAACCTGTCTCTAACCTGTGGTGTCCCCATCCCACTGTCTACAGGGACATAGTGGATAACCTGTCTCTAACCTGTGGTGTCCCCATCCCACTGTCTACAGGGACATAGTGGATAACCTGTCTCTAACCTGTGGTGTCCCCATCCCACTGTCCTACAGGGACATAGTGGATAACCTGTCTCTAACCTGTGGTGTCCCCATCCCACTGTCTACAGGGACATAGTGGATAACCTGTCTCTAACCTGTGGTGTCCCCATCCCACTGTCTACAGGGACATAGTGGATAACCTGTCTCTAACCTGTGGTGTCCCCATCCCACTGTCTACAGGGACATAGTGGATAACCTGTCTCTAACCTGTGGTGTCCCCATCCCACTGTCTACAGGGACATAGTGGATAACCTGTCTCTAACCTGTGGTGTCCCCATCCCACTGTCTACAGGGACATAGTGGATAACCTGTCTCTAACCTGTGGTGTCCCCATCCCACTGTCTACAGGGACATAGTGGATAACCTGTCTCTAACCTGTGGTGTCCCCATCCCACTGTCTACAGGGACATAGTGGATAACCTGTCTCTAACCTGTGGTGTCCCCATCCCACTGTCTACAGGGACATAGTGGATAACCTGTCTCTAACCTGTGGTGTCCCCATCCCACTGTCTACAGGGACATAGTGGATAACCTGTCTCTAACCTGTGGTGTCCCCATCCCACTGTCTACAGGGACATAGTGGATAACCTGTCTCTAACCTGTGGTGTCCCCATCCCACTGTCTACAGGGACATAGTGGATAACCTGTCTCTAACCTGTGGTGTCCCCATCCCACTGTCTACAGGGACATAATGGATAACCTGTCTCTAACCTGTGGTGTCCCCATCCCACTGTCTACAGGGACATAGTGGATAACCTGTCTCTAACCTGTGGTGTCCCCATCCCACTGTCTACAGGGACATAGTGGATAACCTGTCTCTAACCTGTGGTGTCCCCATCCCACTGTCTACAGGGACATAATGGATAACCTGTCTCTAACCTGTGGTGTCCCCATCCCACTGTCTACAGGGACATAGTGGATAACCTGTCTCTAACCTGTGGTGTCCCCATCCCACTGTCTACAGGGACATAGTGGATAACCTGTCTCTAACCTGTGGTGTCCCCATCCCACTGTCTACAGGGACATAGTGGATAACCTGTCTCTAACCTGTGGTGTCCCCATCCCACTGTCTACAGGGACATAGTGGATAACCTGTCTCTAACCTGTGGTGTCCCCATCCCACTGTCTACAGGGACATAGTGGATAACCTGTCTCTAACCTGTGGTGTCCCCATCCCACTGTCTACAGGGACATAGTGGATAACCTGTCTCTAACCTGTGGTGTCCCCATCCCACTGTCTACAGGGACATAGTGGATAACCTGTCTCTAACCTGTGGTGTCCCCATCCCACTGTCTACAGGGACATAGTGGATAACCTGTCTCTAACCTGTGGTGTCCCCATCCCACTGTCTACAGGGACATAGTGGATAACCTGTCTCTAACCTGTGGTGTCCCCATCCCACTGTCTACAGGGACATAGTGGATAACCTGTCTCTAACCTGTGGTGTCCCCATCCCACTGTCTACAGGGACATAGTGGATAACCTGTCTCTAACCTGTGGTGTCCCCATCCCACTGTCTACAGGGACATAGTGGATAACCTGTCTCTAACCTGTGGTGTCCCCATCCCACTGTCTACAGGGACATAGTGGATAACCTGTCTCTAACCTGTGGTGTCCCCATCCCACTGTCTACAGGGACATAGTGGATAACCTGTCTCTAACCTGTGGTGTCCCCATCCCACTGTCTACAGGGACATAGTGGATAACCTGTCTCTAACCTGTGGTGTCCCATCCCACTGTCCCAGGGACATAGTGGATAACCTGTCTCTAACCTGTGGTGTCCCATCCCACTGTCTACAGGGACATAGTGGATAACCTGTCTCTAACCTGTGGTGTCCCCATCCCACTGTCTACAGGGACATAGTGGATAACCTGTCTCTAACCTGTGGTGTCCCCATCCCACTGTCTACAGGGACATAGTGGATAACCTGTCTCTAACCTGTGGTGTCCCATCCCACTGTCTACAGGGACATAGTGGATAACCTGTCTCTAACCTGTGGTGTCCCATCCCACTGTCTACAGGGACATAGTGGATAACCTGTCTCTAACCTGTGGTGTCCCCATCCCACTGTCTACAGGGACATAGTGGATAACCTGTCTCTAACCTGTGGTGTCCCCATCCCACTGTCTACAGGGACATAATGGATAACCTGTCTCTAACCTGTGGTGTCCCCATCCCACTGTCTACAGGGACATAGTGGATAACCTGTCTCTAACCTGTGGTGTCCCCATCCCACTGTCTACAGGGACATAGTGGATAACCTGTCTCTAACCTGTGGTGTCCCCCATCCCACTGTCTACAGGGACATAGTGGATAACCGTCTCTAACCTGTGGTGTCCCCATCCCACTGTCTACAGGGACATAGTGGATAACCTGTCCTCTAACCTGTGGTGTCCCCATCCCACTGTCTACAGGGACATAGTGGATAACCTGTCTCTAACCTGTGGTGTCCCCATCCCACTGTCTACAGGGACATAGTGGATAACCATGCGAAGGAGAATGCTCTGAACATCGTGACTGAAGAGAGAACCTACCACATCTATGCAGAGACTCCTGAAGATGCCAGGTAGATTCAGACTATAGCCCTGTTCTGTCCAGACTCTAGCCCTCTTCTGTCCAGGGTCTAGCCCTCTTCTGTCCAAACTCTAGCCCTCTTCTGTCCAGACTCTAGCCCTCTTCTGTCCAGACTCTAGCCCTCTTCTGTCCAGACTCTAGCCCTCTTCTGTCCAGACTCTAGCCCTCTTCTGTCCAGACTCTAGCCCTGTTCTGTCCAGACTCTAGCCCTCTTCTGTCCAGACTCTAGCCCTCTTCTGTCCAGACTCTAGCCCTCTTCTGTCCAGGGTCTATCCCTCTTCTGTCCAGGGTCTAATCTACAACACCATGGAACTATAGAATCAGACAGCAGTCTGTTAGACACATGCCATTTACACAGAGTAGATACAGGGTCTGTTAGTAGCTGGTGGATGGGTCTGTTAGTAGCTGGTGGATGGGTCTGTTAGTAGCTGGTGGATGGGTCTGTTAGTAGCTGGTGGATGGGTCTGTTAGTAGCTGGTGGATGGGTCTGTTAGTAGCTGGTGGATGGGTCTGTTAGTAGCTGGTGGATGGGTCTGTTAGTAGCTGGTGGATGGGTCTGTTAGTAGCTGGTGGATGGGTCTGTTAGTAGCTGGTGGATGGGTCTGTTAGTAGCTGGTGGATGGGTCTGTTAGTAGCTGGTGGATGGGTCTGTTAGTAGCTGGTGGATGGGTCTGTTAGTAGCTGGTGGATGGGTCTGTTAGTAGCTGGTGGATGGGTCTGTTAGTAGCTGGTAGATGGGTCTGTTAGTAGCTGGTGGATGGGTCTGTTAGTAGCTGGTGGATGGGTCTGTTAGTAGCTGGTAAATGGTCCACCAGTGTTGTGTAGATGTTGTATTACCCCCTAGTGGTCCACCAGTGCATTGCTCTGAGCAATCCTGACTATTCTCTCTCACTCTCTCTCCCTCCAGTGGCTGGTTCAACATGCTGAGTCGTGTCCACAGTGCCAGTCCAGAACAGCTAATGGAGATGAACCATGAGCAGGCCAACCCCAAGAATGCTGTGGTCAGTACCTACCTCCTCCATCACATCTATCAATCAGTTGATCTCTATCTCTAGGAGTTACAGCCTGGCAGTGTCGACTGACGATGTTCTGAACTTCAAATACCAACACAGGGAACCGTGGATGTTGGACTGATCGACTCGGTGTGCGCCTCAGACAACCCAGACAGACCCAACTCGTTTGTCATCATCACTGCTAACCGTGTTATCCACTGCAACACTGAGATGCCTGAAGAGATGCACCACTGGATCGGCCTGCTGCAGAAACCTAAAGGAGACGGCAGTATAGACGGGCCAGGACTTTGTCCTCAGAGGTTAGTGACCTACATACCTGTACGTACAGTACCTGTATCCACACTTACCTCTTACCCATCTGTGCATTTTACATTTTAGTCATTTAGCTGACATCGAACCCACAACGCTCTATCAACCCATACAACGCTCTATCAACCCATACAACGCTCTATCAACCCATACAACGCTCTATCAACCCATACAACGCTCTATCAACCCATACGTACCCATTGGTTTGACAGGTATCAGACGTACAGCAGTGAAGTCATACATTTACTTTTCCATACTGGTCCCCTGTGGGATTCGAACCCACAACCCTGGCGTTGCAAGCACCATGCTCTACCAACTGAGCCACACGGGACCCTATACTTACCCATACATACCTGTACCCATACTTACCCATACATACCTGTCCCCATACTTACCCATACATACCTGTACCCATACTTATCAAATACGTACCTGTACCCAGACGGGGGTGAATACTTATGATACCCAGTGTACCTGTATGGTGTCTGTAAGGTAATATTACACTGGGCAGCACTACACCATAACCTGGTGACACTACAGCATAACGTGGTGACACTACACCATAACCTGGTGACACTACAGCATAACGTGGTGACACTACACCATAACCTGGTGGCACTACAGCACAACCTGGTGACACTACACCATAACCTGGTGACACTACAGAATAACGTGGTGACACTACACCATAACCTGGTGACACTACACCATAACCTGGTGGCACTACAGCATAACCTGGTGACACTACAGAATAACCTGGTGACACTACAGCATAACCTGGTGACACTACAGCATAACCTGGTGACACTACACCATAACCTGGTGGCACTACAGCATAACCTGGTGACACTACAGCATAACCTGGTGACACTACACCATAACCTGGTGACACTACACCATAACCTGGTGGCACTACAGCATAACCTGGTGACACTACAGAATAACCTGGTGACACTACAGCATAACCTGGTGACACTACAGCATAACGTGGTGACACTAGAGAATAACGTGGTGACACTAGAGAATAACGTGGTGACACTAGAGAATAACCTGGTGACACTACACCATAACGTGGTGACACTACAGCATAACGTGGTGACACTACAGCATAACGTGGTGATACTACAGAATAACGTGGTGATACTACAGCATAACGTGGGTGACACTACAGAACTAACCTGGAGGACACTACAGAATAACCTGGTGACACTACAGCATAACGTGGTGACACTACAGAATAACTGGAGACACTACAGCATAACGTGGTGATACTACAGCATAACGTGGTGACACTACAGAATAACCTGGAGACACTACAGAATAACCTGGTGACACTACAGCATAACGTGGTGACACTACAGAATAACCTGGAGACACTACAGAATAACCTGGTGACACTACAGCATAACGTGGTGACACTACAGCATAACGTGGTGACACTACAGCATAACGTGGTGATACTACAGCATAACGTGGTGACACTACAGCATAACGTGGTGATACTACACCATAACCTGGTGACACTACAGAATAACCTGGTGACACTACCAGCATAACCTGGTGACACTACAGCATAACCTGGTGACACTACAGCATAACGTGGTGGACACTAGAGATAACGTGGTGACACTACACCATAACCTGGTGACACTACACCATAACCTGGTGACACTAGAGAATAACGTGGTGACACTACAGCATAACGTGGTGACACTACAGCATAACCTGATGACACTACAGCATAACGTGGTGACACTACAGCATAACGTGGTGACACTAGAGAATAACGTGGTGACACTACACCATAACCTGGTGACACTACACCATAACCTGGTGACACTACAGAATAACGTGGTGACACTACAGCATAACCTGGTGACACTACAGCATAACCTGATGACACTACAGCATAACGTGGTGACACTACAGCATAACGTGGTGACACTACAGCATAACCTGGTGACACTACAGCATAACGTGGTGACACTACAGCATAACGTGGTGACACTACAGCATAACCTGGTGACACTAGAGAATAACGTGGTGACACTACACCATAACCTGGTGACATTACACCATAACCTGGTGACACTACAGAATAACGTGGTGACACTACAGCATAACCTGGTGACACTACAGCATAACCTGATGACACTACAGCATAACCTGGTGACACTACACCATAACCTGGTGACACTACAGCATAATGTGGTGACACTACAGCATAACCTGGTGACACTACAGCATAATGTGGTGACACTACAGCATAACGTGGTGACACTACAGCATAACGTGGTGACACTACAGCATAACCTGGTGACACTACAGCATAACGTGGTGACACTAGAGAATAACGTGGTGACACTACAGCATAACCTGGTGACACTACAGCATAATGTGGTGACACTACAGCATAACCTGGTGACACTACAGCATAACCTGGTGACACTACAGCATAACGTGGTGACACTACAGCATAACCTGGTGACACTACAGCATAACGTGGTGACACTACAGCATAACCTGGTGACACTACAGAATAACGTGGTGACACTACAGAATAATGTGGTGACACTACAGCATAACCTGGTGACACTACACCATAACCTGGTGACACTACAGAATAACGTGGTGACACTACAGAATAACCTGGTGACACTACAGAATAACGTGGTGACACCTACAGATTAACCCTGGTGACCACTACAGAATAACGTGGTTGACACTACAGAATAACCTGGTGACACTACATAATCAACCTGGTGACACTACAGAATAACCTGGTGACACTACAGAATAACGTGGTGCCACTACAGGAATAACCTGGTGACACTACAGAATAACTGGTGACCTACAGCATACGTGGTGACACTACAGCCATAAACGTGGTGACACTACCAGCATAACCGTGGTGGACACACAGAATAACCGTTGGTGACACTCACGAATAACGTGGGGTGACCTACACAGCATAAACGTGGTCACTACACACCATAACCTGGATGACACTACATAATACGGGTGGACACTACAGCTAAACTTGTGCCCTACAGCATAAACGTGGTGGACACTACAGCATAACGTGGTGGACACTACAGAATAACCTGGTGACCACTACAGCATAACTGTGACACTACACAGTCATAACGTGGGTGACACTACAGAATAATGTGGTGACACTACCGAATTACCCAGGGTGACACACAGATATACTGGTGACATACAGCATAACTGGTGACACTACAGCTACTTTGACCTAAGATAACGTGGTGATACACAGAAATGTGGCATACAGAAAACCGGTGACACTACAGCATAACGGTGACATACAGCATAGGTGAACTACATTGTGGGGACACTACAAAAATGGTGACACTACAGCAAACGTGGGGAACAGCATAAGTGGTGATACTACAAATAACGTGTGACACTACAGCGAACGTGGTGTCTACAGCAACGTGTGATCTAAGATAACGGGTGCACAATGAACCTGTGACACTACGCAGAAGTGGTGCACTACAGAATAACGTGGTGACCTACAGAATTAACTGTTGACACTACAGCATAAGTGTGACACTACAGCATAACGTGGTGATTCACTACAGAATATGTGGTGACATACAGAATAACCTGTGACACCTACATCATAACGTCGTGACTACATACGTGTTGGACACTACAGATAGGGTGAACTACAGATAACCTGGTGACACAAGCAAACGTGGTGACACTAGCAGTATGGTGAATACAGCATAAGGGTGATACTACAGAATAATGTGGTGACACTACAGAATAACCTGGTGACACTACAGCATAACGTGGTGACACTACAGCATAACGTGGTGATACTACAGAATAACGTGGTGACACTACAGCATAACGTGGTGATACTACAGCATAACGTGGTGATACTACAGCATAACGTGGTGACACTACACCATAACCTGGTGACACTACAGAATAACGTGGTGACACTACAGCATAACGTGGTGATACTACAGCATAACGTGGTGACACTACAGCATAACCTGGTGACACTACAGCATAACGTGGTGACACTACAGAATAACGTGGTGACACTACAGCATAACCTGGTGACACTACACCATAACCTGGTGACACTACAGCGTGGTTAGAATACATTATCTGATACATCATTATTTATACAGTCAGTTTGTGGTCATATTTATATATTCATAAATTTATATACAGTACACTGAACAAAAATATAAACGCAACATGTAAAGTGTTGGTCCCATGTTTCATGAGCTTAAATAAAAGATCCCAGAAATGTTCCATACACACAAAAAGCTTATTTCTCTAAAGTTATGTGCACAAATTTGTTTACATCCCTGTTAGTGAGCATTTCTCCTTTGCCAAGATAATCCATCCACCTGACAAGTGTGGCATATCAAGAAGCTGATTAAACAGCATGATCAATACACAGGTGCACCTTGTGCTGGGGACAATAAAAGGCCACTCTAAAATGTGCAGTTTTGTCACACAACACAATGCCACAGATGTCTCACGTTTTGAGGGAGCGTGCAATTGGCATGTTGACTGCAGGAATGTCCACCAGAGCTGTTGCCAGAGAATTTAATGTTAATTTCTCTACCATAAGCTGCCTCCAACATTGTTTTAGAGAATTTGGCAGTACATCCAACCGGCCTCACAACCGCTACCCATGTGTATGGCATCGTGTGGGCGAGCGGTTTGCTGATGTCAGCGTTGTGAACAGAGTGCCCCATGGTGGCGGTGGGGTTATGGTATGGGCAGGCATAAATTACAGACAACGAACACAATTGCATTTTATCTATTGAGGCCCATTGTCGTGCCATTCATCCGCCGCCATCACCTCATGTTTCAGCATGATAATGAACGGCCCCATGTCATAAGGATCTGTACACAATTCCTGGAAGCTGAAAATGTCCCAGTTCTTCCATGGCCTGCATACTCACCAGACATGTCACCCATTGAGCATGTTTGGGATGCTCTGGATTGACGTTTACGACAGCGTGTTCCAGTTCCCGCCAATATCCAGCAACCTCGCACAGCCATTGAAGAGGAGTGGGACAACATTCCACAGGCCACAATCAACAGCCTGATCAACTCAATGTGAAGGAGATGTGTCCCGCTGCATGAGGCAAATGGTGGTCGCACCAGATACTGACTGGTTTTCTGATCCACGCCCCTACCTTTTTTTTAAGGTATCTGTGACCAACAGATGCATATTTGTATTCCCAGTCATGTGAAATCCATAGATTAGGGCCTAATGCATATTATTTCCATTGACTGATTTCCTTCTATGAACTGTAACTCAGTAAAATATTTGAAATTGTTGCATGTTGCATTTCTATTCATAATTTCATATTTATATATTTATATATTTTGGAACTGTCATGAACATTTAACAGCTGATATTTACCTGTCCTTCTCTCTCTCCTCCCAGGTTGGCTTCACAAGGCGATCAGGGCTAACAGCACTAATCTGAAGCTGAAGAAGAGATGGTTTGTTTTAACATCCAACTCTCTGGACTACTACAAGTCTTCAGAGCGCAGTGTGTCCAAGCTGGGGACCCTGGTCCTCAACAGTCTCTGCTCTGTGGTCCAGCCCGACGAGAAGGTCTTCAAGGACACAGGTATGTACAGACAGAGACTGTAGCATTATTGTGTCATAAGGCTCTGGTCAAAAGAAGTGCGCTATATAAAGGGAATAGGGTGCCATTTGGGATGCAGACAGGGAGAGTAGTGGCCTGTGCTGCGCGTTGCATTTCTAGCCTGGTCCCAGATCTGTTTGTGCCGTCTTGACAATTCTTATTAGTGACAAAGACCATAGCAGACAACAAAAAACACATCTGGGACCAGGCTAATGCATTTCATCAAGTCATTGTAAAAATCCATATGTGTCTGTCTACCATACAATACTCTGTCGTAATCACACTTGAGTTTGATTTGCTATGTCAGTACTATGTCAGTGCTCCTTGAATCACTCAGACTATTCTATACCCCCCCCCCCCCCCCCCCCCCATAACCCCCCCCCCCCCCCCCCCCACACCCCCCCCCCCCCCCCCCCCCCCCCCCACCCCCCCCTTCAACCCCCCTTCATCTAACCGGTAACACAACCGCCCACCACCCCTAACCCATAACCCCACCTACGCCACCCCCACCTCTACACCCAACCAGCCCCAACCCCAGCACACTAACCCAGATACCCCGCACGCCAGTAACGGAACATCATTACGACAACTGAAGAGCGTAAACACGCGTAAACCAACAAGACTCTACACCAAACTACTAACGAGCGATCCTGGGCTCAGCCTATACAGGGGTATCGACAGCAAGGGCCCATAGAAGACACCCCACTACAGCAACTCATCGACATCAATACAGCACCATCCCCAGCCTGTGACATGCAACTGCCAGCACAGCACCACTCATGAACTATAGGCCAGCGTTTCCCGTAAACGTTGTACTGCCCTCCCTTGCCCATCATTCCACTTAACGTTTTGGGAGACACACACCACCAGACCCGTCAGTTACATATACCTGGGCCAAGCACCCATACCTTATATGATGGATACTAACCTTGCCCACACAGCACAGTCTGTTAAGAGCACGGACTCAACTGGGCCAAGGACTAACACACCTGTAGTGACGAGGTACTAACTGGGCGCCGCACAGTTCACTGTAAATGAAGTGAGTACTAATCTGGGCCGCACGCACACCTAGTGAATTAGGACTAACTGGCCCACACTCACACTGTAGTGACGTGATGCACTAACCTAGCCCAGCCCCAGTCACACTGTAGTGAAGTGGCACGGTACGTAATCAATGGGCCCAGCACAGTCACACTGTTAGTGAAGTGAGGTACTAATCTGGGCCCACAGCACACACTGTAGTGAAGTGGGTACTAACTGGGCCCAGCACAGTCCCCACTGTAGGAAGTGAGGAGGTACTAATCTGGCCCCCACAGTCACACTGTATGAAGTGAGGGTACTAATCTGGGCCCGCACAGTCACACTGTAGTGATGAGGTACTAACCTAGGCCCAGCACAGTCACACTGTTGAGTAAATGAGGTACTAAACCTAGGCCCAGCACAGTCACACTGTTGAGTGACTGAGGTACTAATCTGGGCCCAGCACAGTCACATGTAGTGACGTGAGGTACTAATCTGGGCCCAGCACAGTCCCCACTGTAGTGAAGTGAGGTACTAATCTGGGCCCAGCACAGTCACACTGTAGTGAAGTGAGGTACTAACCTAGGCCCAGCACAGTCACACTGTAGTGAAGTGAGGTACTAATCTGGGCCCAGCACAGTCACACTGTAGTGAAGTGAGGTACTAATCTGGGCCCAGCACAGTCACACTGTAGTGACGTGAGGTACTAACCTAGGCCCAGCACAGTCACACTGTAGTGAAGTGAGGTACTAATCTGGGCCCAGCACAGTCACACTGTAGTGACGTGAGGTACTAACCTAGGCCCAGCACAGTCACCCTGTAGTGAGTGAGGTACTAATTGGGCCCAGCACAGTCACCCCTGTAGTGAAGTGACGGACATCTGGGGCCCCGCACAGTCACACTGTATGACGTGCAGTACTAATCTGGGCCAGCACAGTCACACTGTAGTGAAGTGAGGTACTAACTCTGGGCCCAGCACAGTACACTGTAGTGACGTGAGGTACTAACCTGGGGCCCAGCACAGTCACACTGTAGTGAAGTGATGGTACTAAACTAGGCCCAGCACAGTCACACTGTAGTGAAAGTGAGGTACTAACCTAGGCCCAGCACAGTCACACTGTATTGAGTGAGGTACTAATTGGGCCCAGCACAGTCACACTGTAGTGAAGTGAGGTACTAACCAGGGCCCAGCACAGTCACACTGTAGTGAAGTGGGTACTATCTGGGCCCAGCACATTCCACACTGTATGAATTGAGGTACTAATCTGGGCCCAGCACAGTCACACTGTAGTGAAGTGAGGTACTAATCTGGGCCCAGCACAGTCACACTGTAGTTGAAGTTGAGGTACTAATCTGGGCCCAGCACAGTCACACTGTAGTGAGTGGAGGTACTAATCTGGGGCCCAGCACAGTCACACTGTAGTGAAGTGAGGTACTAACTCTGGCCCAGCACAGTCACACTGTAGTGAAGTGAGGTACTACTCTGGGCCCAGCACAGTCACACTGTAGTGAAGTGAGGTACTAATCTGGGCCCAGCACGTCACACTGTAGTGACGTGAGGTACAATCTGGGCCCAGCACAGTCACACTGTAGTGAAGTGAGTGGTACTAATCGGGCCCCAGCACAGTCACCTGTAGTGAAGTGAGGTACTACTCTGGGCCCAGCACAGTCACACTGTAGTGAGTGAGGTACTAACTCTGGGCCCATCACAGTCACACTGTAGTGAATTGAGGTACTAATCTGGGCCCAGCACAGTCCACCTGTAGTGAAGTGAGGTACTAATCTGGCCCAGCACAGTCACACTGTAGTGAAGTGAGGTACTAATCTGGGCCCAGCACAGTCACACTGTAGTGAAGTGAGGTACTAATCTGGGCCCAGCACCAGTCCCACTGTAGTGAAGTGAGGTACTAAATCTGGGCCCAGCACAGTCCACACTGTAGTGAACGTGAGGTACTAACCTGGGCCCAGCACAGTCACACTGTAGTGACGTGAGGTACTAATCTGGGCCCAGCACAGTCACACTGTAGTGAAGTGAGGTACTAATCTGGGCCCAGCACAGTCACACTGTAGTGAAGTGAGGTACTAATCTGGGCCCAGCACAGTCACACTGTAGTGAAGTGAGGACTAACTGGGACCCCCGCACGTTCCCCATGAGGTGAAGTGAGGTATAATCTGGGCCCAGCACAGTCACACTGTAGTGAAGTGAGGTGCTAATCTGGGCCAGCACAGTCACACTGTAGTGACGTGAGGTACTAACCTAGGCCCAGAAGTCACACTGTATGTGAGTTTAGGTACTAATCTGGGCCCAGCACAGTCACACTGTAGTGAAGTTAGGGGTACTAACCTAGGCCCACAGTCACAACTGTGTGAAAACCGTGGACTATCTGGGCCCAGCACAGTCACACTGTAGTGAAAGGGGGTACTAATCTGGGCCAGCAACAGTCACACTGTATGAGTGAGGTACTAATCTTGGCCCAGCACAGTCCACTGTAGTGACGTGAGGTACTAACTAGGCCCAGCACAGTCACACTGTAGTGAAGTGAGGTACTAATCTGGGCCCAGCCAGTACACTGTAGTGAAGTGAGGTACTAATTGGGCCCACACAGTCAACGTAGTGACTGAGGTACTAATCTGGGGCCCAGCACAGTCACACTGTAGTGAAGTGAGGTACTAATCTGGGCCCAGCACAGTCACACTGTAGTGAAGTGAGGTACTAATCTGGGCCCAGCACAGTCACACTGTAGTGAAGTGAGGTACTAACCTGGGCAAGTATAGCCTCGAGGTTGGAGCATTGGGCCACAAGGTAACCCAACTCTGTCATACAGAGTGTTGACTTGAATATTGTCTCATGACAAGCCATGAGATGCTAGTCTGGTCCCAGATCTGTTTATGATTTCTTGCCAACTCGGAGGGGGGGGGGGGCAAGTATAGCCTCGAGGTTGGAGCGTTGGGCCACAAGGTGAAAACCTGTTGCTGTGCCCTTGAGCAAGGCACTTAACCCAAATTGCTCCAGGGGTGCTGGACAATGGTGACCCTGGTCGTGATCCCGCTTCCTGTGGATGTCTCAGGGGGAGTTGGGATATTCAAAATACACATTTTCACTACACACTTGTACAAGTGTTTAACAGGACAAATATACAGTGCATTCGGAAAGTATTCAGACCCCTTGACTTTTTCCACATTTTGTTACGTTACAGCCTTATTCTAAAATGGATGAAATTAAATCAAATCCTCATCAATCTACACACAATACCCCATAATGACAAAGCGAAAACAGCTTTTTAGAAATGTTTGCAAATGTATTACAAATAAAAAACAGAAATACCTTATTTACATAAGTATTCAGACCCTTTGCTATGAGACTTGAAATTGAGCTCAGGTGCATCCTGTTTCCATTGATCATCCTTGAAATGTTTGTACGAATGCAATTGATTGGACATGATTTGGAAAGGCACACATATAAGGTCCCACAGTTGACAGAGCATGTCTGAGCAAAAACCAAGGAATTGTCCGTAGAGCTCCGAGACAGGATTGTGTCGAGGCACCGATCTGGGGAAGGGTACGAAAACATTTCTGCAGCATTGAAGGTCCCCAAGAACACAGTGGCCTCCATCATTCTTAAATGGAAGAAGTTTGGAACCACCAAGACTCGAGAGAGCGAGCCGCCCGCCCAAACTGAGCAATTGGGGGAAAAGGGCCTTGGTCAGGGAAGTGACCAAGAACCCAATGTTCACTCTGACAGAGCTCCAGAGTTCCTGTGTAGAGATGGGAGAACCTTCCAGAAGGACAACCATCTCTGCAGCACTCTCAGGACCTCAGACTGGGGCGAAGGTTCACCTTCCAACAGGACAACGACCCTAAGCACACAGCCAAGACAACGCAGGAGTGGCTTCGGAACAAGTCTCTGAATGTCCTTGAGTGGCCCAGCCAGAGCCTGGACTTGAACCCGATCGAACATCTCTGGAGAGACCTGAAAATAGCTGTGCAGCGACGCTCCCCATCCAACCTGACAGAGCTTGAGAGGATCTGCAGTGTAGAATAGGGAGAAACTCCCCAAATACAGGTGTGCCAAGCTTGTAGCGTCATACCCAAGACTTGAGGCTGTAATCGCTGCCAAAGGTGCTCGTGAAGAGGGCACGACAAAACCTATTCCCCCTGAGGAGACTGAAAAGATTTGGCATGGGTCCTCAGATCCTCAAAATGTTCTACAGCTGCACCATCGAGAGCATCCTGACTGGTTGCATCACTGCCTGGTATAGCAACTGCTCGGCCTCTGACAGCAAGGCACTACAGAGGATAGTGCGTACGGCCCAGTACATCACTGGGGCCAAGCTTCCTGCCATCCAGGACCTCTATACCAGGCTGTGTCAGAGGAAGGCCCTAAAAATTGTCAAAGACTCCAGCCACCCTAGTCATAGACTATTCTCTCTGCAACCGCATGGCAAGCAGTACCGGAACGCCAAGTCTAGGTCCAAGAGGCTTCTAAACAGCTTCTACCCCTAAGACATAAGACTCCTGAACATCTAATCAAATGGCTACCCAGACTATTTGCATTGACAATAGGCAAGCAGCTTGGTGAGAAGGCAATAACTGTTGGCACAATTATTAGAAAATGGAAGAAGTTCAAGATGACAGTCAATCTCCCTCGGTCTGGGGCTCCATGCAAGATCTCACCTCGTGGGGCATCAATGATCATGAGGAAGGTGAGGGATCAGCCCAGAACTACACGGCAGGACCTGGTTAATGACCTGAAGAGAGCTGGGACCACAGTCTCAAAGAAAACCATTAGTAACACACTATGCCGTCATGGATTAAAATCCTACAGCCCACGCAAGGTCCCCCTGCTCAAGCCAGCGCATGTCCAGGCCCGTCTGAAGTTTGCCAATGACCATCTGGATGATCCAGAGGAGGAATGGGAGAAGGTCATGTGATCTGATGAGACAAAAATAGAGCTTTTTGGTCTAAACTCGCCGTGTTTGGAGGAAGAAGAAGGATGAGTACAACCCCAAGAACACCATCCCAACCGTGAAGCATGGAGGTGGAAACATCATTCTTTGGGGATGCTTTTCTGCAAAGGGGACAGGACGACTGCACCGTATTGAGGGGAGGATGGATGGGGCCATGTATCGCGAGATCTTGGCCAACAACCTCCTTCCCTCAGTAAGAGCATTGAAGATGGGTCGTGGCTGGGTCTCAAGGTCCTGGAGTGGCCTAGCCAGTCTCCAGACCTGAACCCAATAGAAAATCTTTGGAGGGAGTTGAAAGTCTGTATTGCCCAGCGACAGCCCCGAAACCTGAAGGATCTGGAGAAGGTCTGTATGTGTGCAAACCTGGTCAAGACCTACAGGAAACGTATGATCTCTGTAATTGCAAACAAAGGTTTCTGTACCAAATATTAAGTTCTGCTTTTCTGATGTATCAAATACTTATGTCATGCAATAAAATGCAAATTAATTACTTAAAAATCATACAATGTGATTTTCTGGATTTTTGTTTTAGATTCTGTCTCTCACAGTTGAAGTGTACCTATGATAAAAATGACAGACCTCTACATGCTTTGTAAGTAGGAAAACCTGCAAAATCGGCAGTGTATGAAATACTTGTTCTCCCCACTGTATGCAAAGTCACTTTAATAACTCTACCTACATGTACATATTACCTCAATTACCTTGACTAACCTGTGCCCCCGCACATTGACTCGGTACCGGTACCCCCTGTATATAGCCTCGCTATTGTTATTTTAACTGCTAATCTTTAATTATTTGTTACTGTATTAATATTTTATATTGTATTTTTTTTTGGTATTCTTTCTTAAAACTGCATTGTTGGTTAAGGGCTTGTAAGTAAGCATTTCACTGTTGTATTCGGCGCATTTGACAAACATAATTTTATTTTATTTGATTCAACAAAGTACTGAGTAAAGGGTCTGAATAGTTAAGTAAATATGATATTTTATATTTTGTTTAAAATTTTCTGCTAGAAGTTTTTTTTAAAATGCTTTGTCATTATGGTGTATTGTGTAAAAAAAACAATTTTAATCAATTTTAGAATAAGGCTGTAACGTATGCACTGTAAGCACCCCCCAAAGTATAATTCATTATGGTCCTAACCCCCATAGTGTTATTATTATGGTCCACAGGAGTTGTCAAGACAACTGACAGCTGCGTTCATGTTTGGATTTCAGACTGGTTCCACCAGGCTACAAACAGATTTTGGGACCAGGCTTACGAGATGCTAGTGTTGACCTCTCACCCCTAGCCCCTGACCCTTGTGTATCCCCCCCCCCCCAGGAGAGCAGTCTGAACGTGGAGGCTGTGGAGCAGATGTATTGGAGGAACCCTATCCTCAGATATACCCAGCACCCCCTCCACTCCCCCCTTCTGCCTCTACCTTACGGGGAGGTCAACATCCACCGTGAGTTATGACCGGACTTCTACTACAACCTCTTTAACCCTGCATGTATGGAAGCATTTAGCTGCCGAAACTCAATTGGAAATGCAAATGGACAAATTATAAATCAATATCATGTCTGCAATTCATTTTTCGTGACAAAATTCAAATTGAAACGCAAAAAAAAAATTTGTATTGCTAAGAGTATGCATAATGTCTGCCAATCTGAAAAACAAATAGCAAAGTGTGTTTGATATTTCACGTCCATGGTACTATCCAGTACAACGCTGACACATTGAACAACTACATGTAAATGCTTAAACCACACAGAGTATGGAAAAGCATTGTCAATTGAGAATTCATTTTATTTTTGTCACAATTCATGCTATCTCAACAAGGAAATGAAATGGCAAACATGAGAAATGATTTGTCATTTGAGACTGTCAAAATTCAAATGATCAATCAAAAATTCGATAAATCAATGCTTCAGTTTCCCCATTGCCTTTTCATTTTCGATGTGTTAGACCTGTCAATCAAACACGGAGGGCGGGGTTTGGTAACGTAAACCTGGGCTTGCTAGCTATGTTCAAGAAATACCGGTACTCTTCATTTCTTAAAGTATTTCTGGATCAGAGAGGAAGAGGTGAAGCTGGACTATACTGAACAAAAATATAAATGCAACATTCATTAGGCCCTAATCTATGGATTTCACATGACTGGGAATACAGATATGTATCTGTTGGTCACAGATATCTTTCGAAAAAAGTTAGGGGCGTGGATCAGAAAACCAGTCAGTATCTGGTGTGACCACCATTTGCCTCATGCAGCGAGACACATCTCCTTCACATTGAGTTAATCAGGCTGTTGATTATGGCCTGTGGAATGTTGTCCCACTCCTCTTCAATGGCTTTGCGAAGTTGCTGGATATTGGTGGGAACTGGAACACGCTGTCGTAAACGTCAATCCAGAGCATCCCAAACATGCTCAATGGGTGACATGTCTGGTGAGTATGCAGGCCATGGAAGAACTGGGACATTTTCAGCTTCCAGGAATTGTGTACAGATCCTTGCGACATGGGGCTGTTCATTATCATGCTGAAACATGAGGTGATGGTGGCGGATGAATGGCACTACAATGGGCCTCAGGATCTCGTCACGGTATCTCTGTGCATTGAAATTGCTATCAATAAAATGCAATTTTGTTCGTTGTTCATAGCTTATGCCTGCCCATACCATAACCCCACCACCACCATGGGGCACTATGTTCACAACGCTGACATCAGCAAACCGCTCGCCCACACGACGCCATACACCTGGTCTGAGGTTGTGAGGCCGGTTGGACATCCTGCCAAATTCTCTAAAACAACGTTGGAGGCGGCTTATGGTAGAGAAATTAACATTAAATTCTCTGGCAACAGCTCTGGTGGACATTCCTGCAGTCAGCATGCCAATTGCACGCTCCCTCAAAACTTGAGACTTCTGTGGCATTGTGTTGTGTGACAAAGCACATTTTAGAGTGGCCTTTTATTGTCCCTTGCACAAGGTGCACTTGTGTAATGATCATGCTGTTTAATCAGTTTCTTGATATGCCACACCTGTCAGGTGGATGGATTATCTTGGCAAAGGAGATATGCTCACTAACAGGGATGTAAACACATTTGTGCACAACATTGTAGAGTAAAAAGCTTTTATTCTGGGATCTTTTATTTCAGCTCATGAAACATGGGATCACCACTTTACATATTGCGTTGATATTTTTGTTCAGTATATATACTGAATACCTCAGATAGATAATCTGTTGTATGCTATGCTGGCTAGGACAGCCGGTGAGCAAGGAATTTGCGGGGGGAGAAATATCGTCATTGGTGTTGCTGCAAGCTACTAGCAATGATGGCTAGTATATGTAGCTAGCTAGCTAGGTTAATAATAATAATAATAATATGCCATTTAGCAGACGCTTTTATCCAAAGCGACTTACAGTCATGCGTGCATACATTTTATTTATTTTTAATTTTTTTGTGTATGGGTGGTCCCGGGGATCGAACCCACTACCTTGGCGTTACAAGCGCCGTGCTCTACCAGCTGAGCTACAGAGGACCACAGGTTCGATACGTTAGTATGCTAAGGATATGGTGAGAGGCAAGTCAACACATTTTAAGTCATGAGTAGATGGACATAACCTACTAAAATCATTCTGGTCTAACAAATAAAATATATAGCTTTATTTTTTAACACAGTGACTGTGTGTGTGTGAGAGAGCGAGATGAAGAATGAACCTTTGGCCGTTAGTCTTTGAGTTGGTCCTTGGTGGTACAGTATTTAGTTGTCATGGCACCGTCAGGGTATCCCCCACAATAGAAGCACACCTGCGTACTTCAGTACTGTGAAACCATATTGTCTTGAGCAGTAAAGTTTTTCCTCGACTCAATAATGAATCAATAATCAATCAATGATAAAGCTGCGAGCCAAAGTAAGTAAGAGGGTAACTTTGCACGAGCCATGCATGAGCCACAATGGCTCATAGGAGCAGGAGCCACCATGGCTCATAGGAGCAGGAGCCACCATGGCTCATAGGAGCAGGAGCCACCATGGCTCATAGGAGCAGGAGCCACCATGGCTCATAGGAGCAGGAGCCACAATGGATCATAGTGTTTCTGTAGTGTGAGGTAGCTTGATGTACACGTAAACCCCCTGGACAGGGCGCTAGTCTATCGCAGGGCCTTAACCCCAATCTATCTCTATCTCAAACTCGCTTGAGTGCCAAGCAGAGACACATCGGGTCCCATTTTTACAGACTTTGGTATGACTCGGCCAGGGATCGAACTGTCCAACCTTCAAATCTCAGGGAGGACACTAACCACAAGGGCACTGAGTTGGTTATGCAAGCCATAGGTATAACTATATCGCATATTAAGTCTTTAGGCAAGAAAGAGGAACACTGAACTAGACTAACCAATTGTACAAATCCATTGCTCTTTAATCCAAGAAGGGGAGTAGGCAAGTGCAGACCATTGGCAGAGGGGTGGATCAGGGCATCAAGTAATATTTCAGCCATGTTGGTGCCCCTCCAGCCCTGGCTTCCTCTGGGAGAGCATCCTTACCTGTCTGACGGTGGGCAGCTTGGTCAGCAGCATCTGGAAGACAGGAGGGGGCAGCTTGGGCAGCAGCATCTGGAAGACAGGAGGGGGCAGCTTGGGCAGCAGCATCTGGAAGACAGGAGGGGGCAGCAGCATCTGGAAGACAGGAGGGGGCAGCTTGGTCAGCAGCATCTGGAAGACAGGAGGGGACAGCTTGGTCAGTAGCATCTGGAGGACAGGAGGGGGCAGCTTGGTCAGCAGCATCTGGAAGACAGGAGGGGGCAGCAGCATCTGGAAGACAGGAGGGGGCAGCTTGGTCAGCAGCATCTGGAAGACAGGAGGGGGCAGCAGCATCTGGAAGACAGGAGGGGGCAGCTTGGTCAGCAGCATCTGGAAGACAGGAGGGGACAGCTTGGTCAGCAGCATCTGGAAGACAGGAGGGGGCAGCTTGGTCAGCAGCATCTGGAAGACAGGAGGGGGCAGCAGCATCTGGAAGACAGGAGGGGGCAGCTTGGTCAGCAGCATCTGGAAGACAGGAGGGGACAGCTTGGTCAGCAGCATCTGGAAGACAGGAGGGGGCAGCTTGGTCAGCAGCATCTGGAAGACAGGAGGGGGCAGCTTGGTCAGCAGCATCTGGAAGACAGGAGGGGGCAGCTTGGTCAGCAGCATCTGGAAGACAGGAGGGGGCAGCTTGGTCAGTAGCATCTGGAAGACAGGAGGGGGCAGCTTGGGCAGCAGCATCTGGAAGCCAGGAGGGGGCAGCTTGGTCAGTAGCATCTGGAAGACAGGAGGGGGCAGCAGCATCTGGAAGCCAGGAGGGGGCAGCTTGGTCAGCAGCATCTGGAAGCCAGGAGGGGGCAGCAGCATCTGGAAGCCAGGAGGGGGCAGCTTGGTCAGCAGCATCTGGAAGCCAGGAGGGGGCAGCAGCATCTGGAAGCCAGGAGGGGTCAGCAGCATCTGGAAGACAGGAGGGGGCAGCAGCATCTGGAAGCCAGGAGGGGGCAGCAGCATCTGGAAGACAGGAGGGGTCAGCAGCATCTGGAAGCCAGGAGGGGGCAGCAGCATCTGGAAGACAGGAGGGGGCAGCAGCATCTGGAAGCCAGGAGGGGGCAGCAGCATCTGGAAGACAGGAGGGGGCAGCAGCATCTGGAAGACAGGAGTGGGCAGCAGCATCTGGAAGCCAGGAGGGGGCAGCAGCATCTGGAAGACAGGAGTGGGCAGCAGCATCTGGAAGACAGGAGGGGGCAGCAGCATCTGGAAGACAGGAGGGGGCAGCAGCATCTGGAAGCCAGGAGGGGGCAGCAGCATCTGGAAGCCAGGAGGGGGCAGCAGCATCTGGAAGACAGGAGTGGGCAGCAGCATCTGGAAGCCAGGAGGGGGTAGTGTCCGCTAGAGGTGCTGCTGGGGATGTCCACACACAGCAGTGCTGTTGGTCAGCTGAACCACTGCCTTCTCATCGTTTCCTGAGGGTTGGAACACATAGATTAGTTGAAAGGCACACTGTCAGGTCTAGAGCAAATGAACTGATATAGAAAAAGTTTTTCTTTCAAATATAATTTTTGTAGCCTACAAATCAGACAACAGGAACTCATAAGAATTAGACTAATTCCAGTCCCTATCATAGATCGTCTGCCCCCTTACAGAGTCTCTGGTACTGTCCCCTGTGGGCTATAATAGGACATCTACAGTGCATTTGGAAAGTATTCAGACCCCTTGACTCTTTTCCCCATTTTGTTACGTTACAGCCTAATTCTATTTTTATTTTTTTAATCCTCATCAATCTACACACAATACCCCATAATGACAAAGCGAAAACAGGTTTTTAGAAATGTTTGCTAATTTATAAAAATAAAAAAGCTCAAATATACACTACTGTTCAAAAGTTTGGGGTCACTTAGAAATGTCCTTGTTTTTCGAAAGAAAAGCAATTTTTTTGTCCATTAAAATAACATCAAATTATCAGAAATACAGTGTAGACATTGTTCATGTTGTAAATGGCTATTGTAGCTGGAAACGGCAGATTTTTTATGGAATATCTACATAGGCGTACAGAGGCCCATTATCAGCAACCATCAGTCCTGTATTCCAATGGCACGTTGTGTTTGCTAATCCACGTTTATCATTTTAAAAGGCTAATTGATCATTAGAAAACCCTTTTGCAATTATGTTAGCACAGCTGAAAACTGTTGTGCTGATTAAAGAAGCAATAAAACTGGCCTTCTTGAGCCTAGTTGAGTATCTGGAGCATCAGCAGTTGTGGGTTCGATTACAGGATCAAACTGGCCAGAAACAAATAACTTTCTTCTGAAACTCGTCAGTCTATATTTGTTCTGAGAAATGAAGGCTATTCCATGCGAGAAATTGCCAAGAAACTGAAGATCTCGTACAACGCTGTGTACTACTCCTTTCACAGAACAGCGCAAACTGGCTCTAACCAGAATAGAAAGAGGAGTTGGAGGCCCCGGTGCACAACTGAGCAAGAGGACAAATACATTAGAGTGTCTAGTTTGAGAAACAGGCACCTCACAGGTCCTCAACTGGCAGCTTCATTAAATAGTACCCGCAAAACACCAGTCTAGGCAGAGTTGCAAAGAAAAAGCCATATCAGACTGGCCAATAAAAATAAAAGATTAAGATTTGCAGTCTGAGATATGGCTTTTTCTTTGCAACTCTGGCAGACATTATGCATACTCAATGCAATCATTTATTTTTGCGTTTCAATTTGAATTTTGTCACAAAAAATGAATTTTAAACATGATATTGATTTATCATTTGACCATTTGCATTTCCAATGGAGTTTCGGCAGCTACATGCTTCCATATGCAAGGACTTCTACTACAACCTCTTTGTATTTGTATTTGTGCTAATTATGGATTCCCAAGGCAGCAGCTACTCTTCCTGGGGTTTATTATGGATCCCCATTAGTTCCTGCCAAGGCAGCAGCTACTCTTCCTGGGGTTTATTACGGATCCCCATTAGTTCCTGCCAAGGCAGCAGCTACTCTTCCTGGGGTTTATTATGGATCCCCATTAGTTCCTGCCAAGGCAGCAGCTACTCTTCCTGGGGTTTATTATGGATCCCCATTAGTTCCTGCCAAGGCAGCAGCTACTCTTCCTGGGGTTTATTATGGATCCCCATTAGTTCCTGCCAAGGCAGCAGCTACTCTTCCTGGGGTTTATTATGGATCCCCATTAGTTCCTGCCAAGGCAGCAGCTACTCTTCCTGGGGTCCAGCAACAATTAAGGCAGTAATATACATTATAATAGAAATGTTAAACATTAAAATACATTTTACAACAGATTTCACAATACGTTGTGTGCCCTCAGGCCACTGCTCTACTACAACACACCATCCAGGTGTACGTGTGTGTATAGTGTGTATGTTAAGTGTGTTTGTATGTGTGTGTGTAACTCTTCAAGGAATTATACTACAACCTCTTTAACCCTGCAAGGAATTATACTACAATCTCTTTAACCCCTCCCTCTCTCCACAGTCCAAAAGGAGAAGGGCTATGCCAGCCTGCAGGACGAGGCAGTGAAGATCTTCAACTCTCTGCAGGAGATGGAGGCAGTGTCCGACCCGGTGCCGATCATCCAGGGCATCCTCCAGACCTGCCAGGACCTACGCCTGCTCCGAGACGAGGTCTACTGCCAGCTCATCAAGCAGACCAATCACGTGACTCAGCCCAACAGCTCGGCCAATCGCGCCCACTGGCACCTCCTCACCTGTATGAGCTGTACCTTCCTGCCCAGCCGGGGCATCCTGCGCTACCTCAAGTTCCACCTTAAAAGGTACTGTATTTACCTCCAGTTTCACCTTAAAGGGTACTGTATTTACCTCCAGTTTCACCTTAAAGGGTACTGTATTTACCTCCAGTTCCACCTTAAAGGGTACTGTATTTACCTCCAGTTCCACCTTAAAGGGTACTGTATTTACCTCCAGTTTCACCTTAAAGGGTACTGTATTTACCTCCAGTTTCACCTTAAAGGGTACTGTATTTACCTCCAGTTCCACCTTAAAGGGTACTGTATATACCTCCAGTTCCACCTTAAAGGGTACTGTATTTACCTCCAGTTCCACCTTAAAGGGTACTGTATTTACCTCCAGTTCCACCTTAAAGGGTACTGTATTTACCTCCAGTTCCACCTTAAAGGGTACTGTATTTACCTCCAGTTCCACCTTAAAGGGTACTGTATATACCTCCAGTTCCACCTTAAAGGGTACTGTATTTACCTCCAGTTCCACCTTAAAGGGTACTGTATTTACCTCCAGTTCCACCTTAAAGGGTACTGTATTTACCTCCAGTTCCCCCTTAAAGGGTACTGTATTTACCTCCAGTTTCAAGTACATTACTCCTTCATGCCTTTTTTAGTACATTAGTCATGCTCCATTCCTTCTTTTTATATTTTGTATAAGTTTGTACAATTATTCCTGCAACATAATATAATATACAGTTGTACAGTAATTCATAATTCATAATTCACAATTCATAATTCAGGAATTTTATTTTCATGCTAACCCACCTTTAACCCCACCCCCTCCCAATCTCTTCCCTATGGCTGGGAGAACACCCCCCCCCCCCCCCCCCACCCATCTCTTCCCTATGGCTGGGAGAACATCCCCCCACCCATCTCTTCCCTATGGCTGGGAGAACATCCCCCCCACCAATCTCTTCCCTATGGCTGGGAGAACATCCCCCCACCCATCTCTTCCCTATGGCTGGGAGAACATCCCCCCACCCATCTCTTCCCTATGGCTGGGAGAACATCCCCCCACCCATCTCTTCCCTATGGCTGGGAGAACATCCCCCCCACACATCTCTTCTCTATGGCTGGGAGAACATCCCCCCCACCCATCTCTTCTCTATGGCCGTGAGAACATCCCCCCCACCCATCTCTTCTCTATGGCTGGGAGAACATCCCCCCCACCCATCTCTTCCCTATGGCTTGTAGTGAGCAGAATGTGTCCCCTCCCTATAGCTTGTAGTGAGCAGAATGTGTCCCCTCCCTATAGCTTGTAGTGAGCAGAATGTGTCCCCTCCCTATAGCTTGTAGTGAGCAGAATGTGTCCCCTCCCTATAGCTCATATGGAAAAACATTGATAAACTGACTAGAAAAGGCCATGTCAAGAATGGTGACCTTCCACTGAAGGTAGATGGAAGGCCATGTCAAGAATGGTGACCTTCCACTGAAGGTAGATGGAAGGCCATGTCAAGAATGGTGACCTTCCACTGAAGGTAGATGGAAGGCCATGTCAAGAATGGTGACCTTCCACTGAAGGTAGATGGAAGTCTCCAAGAGAAAACTCTGTCATCGCCACCACTTTCTATTGGTTCAGTTTTAGAGTTGGGCCAACAATTTACCATCAGAGACCAGACTCTCACCCATTGCAACGACTGTCACCAGGTTCTTAACCTAGTGATGACAAATGAATGGTGCATAAACGCATATCCTCTGTGAGCAACTGCAGACCAATCAGCATCCTCCCTGTCATCTTGATGTGAGCAACTGCAGACCAATCAGTATCCTCCTGCAGAGAAAGTGGTAATGGAAGAGCTAACAACCCACCTGAATATGGGTAGCTTTCTCCTTCACCCCATGCAGTTTGTGTTTAGGCTGAACCTCTCAACAGAGACAGTATGTTGCTATCTCCTAGAGGTGAACCAGGCCAAGCTGGACCAAGGGGACGTTGTAGGTGCAGTTCTCTTCAGAAAGTCCTTTGACACAGTTAACAACAACGTCCTCCTCTCCAAGCTATCCAACTTCAACATCTCATCAAGCGCTTTAAAATGGATGAAATGGTGACCTACCATCACCAAGGGACCACACTGTAGGAGTGCCACAGGGGTCGATCCTGGGCCCTTTTTTATTAATGACCTTCAATCTGTCTACTAGGGCATGGATATTCAAATGTATGTGGATGAAACATTTATTTATACACATGGCAAAAATGCAGATGAAGTGGCAAGCAAATTAACGGCATCATTGGAGAAAGTGGCTGAAAGGCTCAAGCACTACTGCCTCACCCTCAATGTGGGAAAAACGGTAGCTATGTACTAAACAAACAGGCTTACTGCTGGACATACTCATCCACTGACATTTCTTTTTTAACATTCACAGAGTTTAAATATCTGGGCATTATCCTACACCCTACTTTGAACTGTAAAAACACATTAAAAAAGATACAGCATAGTCTTCTCACCAATGTTCAATACATCAGGAACTCACTCTCTACAGAGGCAGCCAAGATGGATTTACATGCAATGATCTTCTATCAAATCAAATCACATTTTATTTGCCACATGCGCCGAATACAACAGGTGTAGACATTACCGTGAAATGCTTACTTACAAGCCCTTAACCAACAACGCATTTATTTTTTTATAAAAAAGTAAAATAAAACAACAACAAAAAAGTGTTGAGAAAAAAGAGCAGAAGTAAAATAAAATAACAGTAGGGAGGATTGAGGATCCCGTGTTGAGGATCAGTGTGGCAGATATGTTGTTACCTACCCTTACCACCTGGGGGCGGCCCGTCAGGAAGTCCAGGATCCAGTTGCAGAGGGAGGTGTTCAGTCCCAGGGTCCTTAGCTTAGTGATGAGCTTGGAGGGCACTATGGTGTTGAATGCTGAGCTCTAGTCAATGAACAGCATTCTCACAAAGGTGTTCCTCTTGTCCAGGTGGGAAAGGGCAGTGTGGAGCGCAATAGAGATTGCATCATCTGTGGATCTGTTGGGGCGGTATGCAAATTGGAGTGGGTCAAGGGTTTCTGGGATAATGGTGTTGATGTGAGCCATGACCAGCCTTTCAAAGCACTTCATGGCTACAGACGTCAGTGCTACGGGTCGGTAGTCATTTAGGCAGGTTATCTTAGTGTCCTTGGGTACGGGGACTATGGTGGTCTGCTTGAAACATGTTGGTATTACAGACTCAGTCAGGGACATGTTGAAAATGTCAGTGAAGACACTTGCCAGTTGGTCAGCACATGCTCGGAGTACACGTCCTGGTAATCCGTCTGGCCCTGCGGCCTTGTGAATGTTGACCTGCTTAAAAGTCTTACTCACATTGGCTATGGAGAGTGTGATCACACAGTCGTCCGGAACAGCTGGTGCTCTCATGCATGCTTCAGTGTTGCTTGCCTCGAAGCGAGCATAGAAGTGATTTAGCTCGTCTGGAAGTCTTGTGTCACTGGGCAGCTCGCGGCTGTGCTTCCCTTTGTAGTCTGTAATAGTTTTCAAGCCCTGCCACATCCGACGAGCGTCAGAGCCGGTGTAGTACGATTCAATCTTAGTCCTGTATTGACTCTTTGCCTGTTTGATGGTTCGTCGGAGGACATAGCGGGATTTCTTATAAGCGTCCGGGTTAGAGTCCCGCTCCTTGAAAGCGGCAGCTCTACCCTTTAGCTCAGTGCGGATGTTTCCTGTAATCCATGGCTTCTGGTTGGGGTATGTACGTACGGTCACTGTGGGGACGACATCATCGATGCACTTTTTGATGAAGCCAGTGACTGATGTGGTGTACTCCTCAATGCTGTCTGAAGAATCCCGGAACATGTTCCAGTCTGTGCTAGCAAAACAGTCCTGTAGCTTAGCATCTGCGTCATATGACCACTTTTTTATTAACCGAGTCACTGGTGCTTCCTGCTTTAGTTTTTGCTTATAAGCAGGAATCAGGAGGATAGAGTTATGGTCAGATTTGCCAAATGGAGGGCGAGGGAGAGCTTTGTATGCGTCTCTGTGTGTGGAGTAAAGGTGGTCTAGAGTTTTTTTCCCTCTGGTTGCACATTTAACATGCTGGTAGAAATGAGGTAGAACGGATTTAAGTTTGCCTGCATTAAAGTCCCCGGCCACTAGGAGCGCTGCCTCTGGATGAGCGTTTTCCTGTTTAGTTATGGCCTTATACAGCTCATTGAGTGCAATCTTAATGCCAGCATTGGTTTGTGGTGTTAAATAGACAGCTATGAACAATATAGATGAAAACTCTATTGGTAAATAGTGTGATCTACAGCTTATCATAAGATACTCTACCTCAGGCGAGCAAAACCTCGAGACTTCCTTAGTATTTGATTTTGTGCACCAGCTGTTGTTTACAAATATACACAGACCGCCACCCCTTGTCTTACCGGAGTCAGCCGCTCTATCCTGCCGATGTAGAGTATAGCCCGCTAGCTGTATGTTGTCCATGTCGTCGTTCAGCCACGACTCTGTGAAACATAAGACATTACAGTTTTGAATGTCCCGTTGGTAGGATAACCGTAATCTTAGGTCATCTAATTTATTTTCAAATGATTGAACATTGGCTAATAGGATTGATGGAAGAGGCAGTTTACTCGCTCGCCGTCGGATCTTACAAGACCACCGACCTACGTCCACGATTTCTCCTGCGAATGACGGGGATTTGGGCCTTGTCGGGTGTCTGTAGGATATCCTTCGCGTCCGACTCGTTGAAGAAAAAATATTCTTCCAATACGAGGTGAGTAATCGCTGTCCTGATATCCAGAAGCTATTTTTGGTTATAAGAGGCGGTAGCAGAAACATTATGTACAGAATAAATTACAAATAACGCGAAAAAACACACATAATAGTACAATTGGTTAGAGGGCTGTAAAACGGCAGCCATCTTCTTCGGCGCCACCTTCCCTGTCCTATTGTATCAAGCCAATTAAACATAAATTAAATCTATATAAACAAGCACTTAAGATCCTGGACAGGAAATCACATCATTACCGTCACGGTAATATTCTTGCCAAGTACATTCTGTTCAATTTGGACAACTTTGTTTTTCTCAGATGTCTGTCTAGTTTATAAGATTATCAACAATGTTGCAGCTCCACCTCTGAAAGATTTGGTCATATTAAGCTCGGAACAAAACAGCAGAGTCACCCGGACCTCCACAAGAGGAGACTGTCATTCCTAAAAGAAGGAACAGTCAGCATTCTCCACCTCAGGCATCAGGAAATGGAATTCCCTCCCCTGGACCTTAAGAAGCACCAGTGACTTTAAATCCTGCTCCATGGAGGTCAAAGCGTGGATCAAGGCGCATCAAGCCTGCTCACATTAACTAATTGTTAATGCACTCAATTCTCAGTGTGTTTTATGTATTATGATGTGTCCTGTATTTATTGTATTATTAGTTGTATTTAATGATTCCTGTATTTGCTTTAATCTGTTATATCCTACTATACTACTGTATGAGTGATGTGAATGTAGCTATGTTTATCTATTTAGTTAGGGACTGCAGATGAAAATTAGCTGTGTTTAGCTAACTCTGGTGGAAACATATTTCACTGTCTGAAATTTGTTTTTAAATTGCACAAGGTCCCTTTAATTAAATTACCACCACCACCACTACTATAGCTTTGAGCCACAAGCAGAATATGTCCCCTCCCTATAGCTTCTAGTAAAAATATACTTATTTTCTGTGATTGATTTGTATGGATGAGAAAACTGGACAGGATGACATCAGTAACGTTGATTTCCTCATCCTCTACACACTCGGTAACCCTCTGTCTGTCTGTTGTCTCCAGGGTGAAGGAGCAGTTTCCTGGAACAGAGGTGGACATGTTTGCCCATTTCATAGGTGAGTCTCTGAAGAGGACCAAGGTCAGGGAGTATGTTCCGTCTCAGGAGGAGATCGTAGCCCTACTGACCAGGCAGGAAATGGCTACTACGGTCTACTGCCACGGAGGAGGATCCTGCAAGATCTCCATCAACTCACACACCACCGCTGGAGAGGTGAGTGTTACGTTCCCCAGCAAGAAAACAAAAATAGTCAGAAGAGGGAGCTAACAATTTGAGATTGCCAATCATCTTGCCCAGAAGTGGCGCGAGAACGCCATTTCTTCATTATAACACCATATCTGACAAAGTAACCCACCACGAACGTAATCAAAATCCTCCTCTAGACGTATCTCAGCAAAAAGAGGGTAGAGGGAAACGTCTTTACTCTGTTCAGCAATCAGCTGCTTCCTAGACATCAACTGTAGGGACCCTCTCTTCCTTCAGCGGTCCTACAACTAGCTCACCTTTTGGGGTTTTCAAAGGAGAGGTCAACTCAGGAGGTTGACCGAAATCAGGATCACCCATAAACGTCTCAGACAGATCGACCATGGTGGGATCGCTGACATCCTCCTCAACACTTTCTTCTTCTTTCACATGTAACGGCACATGCTGCGAACACTGTAGGGTACTTTACTGATAACCAGCAGGTTCCTCTACTCTGGGCTCCTTACAAACCACAGGATTTGGCACAACCTTCCCCACAGCCAAATAATTTCCCAAAATTAATGAGACCCCCTTCACCGGTAGGCTAGGCCTCACTCCAACGACAACGGAACCAGCAACAAGATCAGACTTCTACATTATACAAAGGAACTTCCATGCAACCCATCTCCACGCCTTGTACTAACACACTGTAACCAGTTGCTGAAGTGTCAAAGGCAAAACACCCTCCAACATGAAGGACTGGGATGCCCAAGTGTCTCGCAGTATCTTTACCAGCTGCTTAACAGCATCACCACTCTGCAGAGACACCAACCCATACACATCTACTTAACAGCATCGCCACTCTGCAGAGACACCAACCCATACACATCTGCTTAACAGCATCGCCACTCTGCAGAGACACCAACCCATACACATCTGCTTAACAGACACCAACCCATACACATCTGCTTAACAGCATCGCCACTCTGCAGAGACACCAACCCATACACATCTGCTTAACAGCATCGCCACTCTGCAGAGACACCAACCCATACACATCTGCTTAACAGCATCGCCACTCTGCAGAGACACCAACCCATACACATCTGCTTAACAGCATCGCCACTCTGCAGAGACACCAACCCATACACATCTGCTTAACAGCATCGCCACTCTGCAGAGACACCAACGCATACACATCTGCTTAACAGCATCGCCACTCTGCAGAGACACCAACCCATACACATCTGCTTAACAGCATCGCCACTCTGCAGAGACACCAACCCATACACATCTGCTTAACAGCATCACCACTCTGCAGAGACACCAACCCATACACATCTGATCCAGAATGCTGTTTAGGAGATCCACCAGGCCCAACCAGAGACGTAATGGGCTGGAGTGCTCCCACAAGAACAAACTGCTATTTCTCTCTCATTTTTCTGTTTCAACTGAAGACACTGAGAAACAATGTGTAATTTCTCACGGCAGTAATGACAAACTGGCGGTTACGAAAAAAACAGTTTTCTGCCGATCCTTATCTGTAGAAAAGGACTGAAACCTCGTAGTAGGAGGTGACTTCTCTGGATCGCTCTTTGCGTAGGGATAACTACTGGGTGCTTTGTTTGTGAAGGTAGTTTTATGTGTCAACACAAACTCATCTGCCAGAACTGCAGCTTTCTCAAGAGTGAGATCCTTGTGCTCATAAATGTAGGTAGCAACCCTTTCATCAAGGCAAGTCTTTCAATCCTCAAGAACCTCGATCTCTTGAGAACCACACCACCGATCTAAAAGACATGCTTGTTCCCTTGACAACGCAACATGGCTTTGTGATTCTGTCTTTTGTAATTAACAGAACTGTTGTCCGTATGCCTCTGGGACCAACTCGTATGCCTGAAGAATAGCAGCTTTAACATAATCTGATCTAAAGAGATAAAGCGCCGGACACTTTGAGCATTTCCCACAAGAACACTTTGGAGGGGCAGTGACCAAATGTCTCACAGACATTTTAGGGATGTTGGAATCCACTCAGAGTAAAATATACTGTACATCCAGCTCCCATTCGTTGAAAGGCGGTACAAGTTGGCTGTTCCGACCAAGATCAACCTCTGTTGAGGGTGCAGGACGGCCTGACTGGATTCGGAGTGGCTCTCTTAATCGAATGCATGCTCACGTTCCTGTTCCCTTTCCTTGTACTTTGAGATCCATCTCTCTTAATCTAATGGCATGTCCACGTTCTTCTTGTTCTTGTTTCTAGTCTGGCTGCCCGTTTCTGTTGCTCCAATCTGGTGTGGTGCAGACCCAGTGGAGAGAAGACGCTGTCTGTCCTGCTGAGCTTTGATGCTGCTGTTTCACTTTCCCTTTCTCTTGCTCCATTCCCACGTTCTCTTTCCTTTTCCTTGTGCTCCAGCTCTAATGTCTGTTGTTCCCATGTTGCCTTTAGTTCCACCTCTCTCAGTTGCACGTCTATGGGGTGTACAGTGCCATGCAAAAGTATTCATCCCCCTTGGCGTTTTTCCTATTTTGTTGCATTACAACCTGTAATTGAAATGGATTTTTATTTGGATTTCATGTGATGGACGTACACAAAATAGTCCAAATTGGTGAAGTGAAATGAAAAAAAATAACTTGTTTCAAAAAATTCTAAAAAATAAATAACGGAAAAGTGGTGCGTGCATATGTATTCACCCCCTTTGCTATGAAGCCCCTAAATAAGATCTGGTGCAACCAATTACCTTCAGAAGTCACATAATTAGTTAAATAAAGTCCACCTGTGTGCAATCTAAGTGTCACATGATCTGTCACATGATCTCAGTATATATACACCTGTTCTGTAAGGCCCCAGAGTCTGCAACACCACTAAGCAAGGGGCACCACCAAGCAAGCGGCACTATGAAGACAAGGGAGCTCTCCAAACAGGTCAGGGACAAAGTTGTGGAGAAGTACAGATCAGGGTTGGGTTAAAAAAAAAAGATCAGTAACTTTGAACATCCCACGGAGCACCATTAAATCCATTATTAAAAAATGTAAAGAATATGGCGCCACAACAAACCTGCCAAGAGAGGGCCGCCCACCAAAACTCACGGACCAGGCAACAAAGAGACCACAGCGGAGATTGGAGTATCTGTCCATAGGACCACTTTAAGCCGTACACTTCACAGTGCTGGGCTTTACGGAAGAGTGGCCAGAAAAAAAAGCCATTGCTTAAAGAAAAAAATAAGCAAACATGTTTGGTGTTCGCCAAAAGGCATGTGGGAGACTCCCCAAACATATGGAAGAAGGTACTCTGGTCAGATGAGTCAAAATTGAGCTTTTTGGCCATCAAGGAATACGCTATGTCTGGCGCAAACCCAACACCTCTCATCACCCCATCCCCACAGTGAAGCATGGTGGTGGCAGCATCATGCTGTGGGGATGTTTTTCATCGGCAGGGACTGGGAAACTGGTCAGAATTGAAGGAATTATAGATGGCACTAAATACAGGGAAATTCTAGTTATGCACGCTTAAGTTTTCTGTGTTTTGGTCTTATTTCTTGTTTCACAAGAAAAAATATTTAGCATCTTCAAAGTGGTAGGCATGTCGTGTAAATCAAATGATACAAACCCCCCCAAAATTCATTTTAATTCCAGGTTGTAAGGCAACAAAATAGGAAAATTGTCAAGGGGGGTGAATACTTTGGCAAGCCACACGTGTCCTCTACCACCCCTCTTCATCATCCTCCTTCTCCGGAAGGATTTCCTCCTCCACAGAAGCAGTATAGACTAACTCTTTGACTACTGCTTTCGAATCGGCATTTGCAACTTTGATGTCATAATGCTTTGCAATGACGAGCAGATGAGCCTTCGTACATTTATCTAGCATCTCCCATGGAGGGTTTTCCACAAATGCTTCCAACTTCAAGTCCATGGTTTTTATTTTATAAGCCTGTGTGTTTATGCAGCTTTCAAAATTATTCCACCAATCTTATAAACCCTCAGGGTGGATGTCAGTGACAGAAATTCGACCACTTAGGTGTCTTTTGAACACTCAAATATCTGGACACAGCAGAGCTTCAGAGTAGGTGATTAGAGCGACTACCAACCTAACATACTCATGGGAAACATGAGACGAGCCGGACGAGTCCCCATTTGTTTACGTCCAACCTCGAAACATAAATGGAAAAACCAAAGCCTGTAACATACGATGCTCTGTCTATGTCCCAACAGTCTGTAACATTTTACATCAACTTACACACCACCGCTGGAGAGGTAAAGAAAATGAGTAGTAGCTGTAAAAATACAGTAATTTCTGCCTTGGGCAATCCGGCATTGGTACATCCATTTTCTCCAGCCTGTGTTAATGTGCCTCTGTCCTGCCTGTCCCCAGGTGGTGGAGAAGCTGATCCGAGGCCTGGCCATGGAGGACAGTAGAAACATGTTTGCCCTGTTCGAACACAACAACACCATGGACCGGGCTGTGGAGAGCAGAGTCATCGTAGCTGACGTACTCGCCAAGTTCGAGAGGTGAGCCATCTGGATGATGATGGAGAGAGAGATACACAGAGAATAGCCCGGTCCCTGATCTGTTTGTGCTAAGCTTGCCAAACCCCTATGGCCATTGACATGTTGTTGTGTGACGATATGACGATATGAGTTAGCAAGACAGCACAAACAGATCTGGAACCAGGCTACCCACAGAGCGAGAACACAGCCATAGATGACTAACAGATCTGGAACCAGGCTACCCACAGAGCGAGAACACAGCCATAGATGACTAACAGATCTGGAACCAGGCTACCCACAGAGCGAGAACACAGCCATAGATGACTAACAGATCTGGAACCAGGCTAGATGACCCACAAACCTCTTGATATTATTACTATAGGGATGTAGCTCAGTTGGTAGAGCATGGCGTTTGCAACACCAGGGTTGTGGGTTGGATTCCCACGGGGGGCCAGTATGAAAAATAAAAAAAATAGTGTATGCACTAAGTCGCTCTGGATAAGAGCGTCTGCTAAATGACTAAAATGTAAATGTAAATGTATATTTCTGCTAAGACGAGGGTCTGAAATTGGTTTGGTTGATTGACTGATTGAGTGAGTGATCGCTTGACTGATTGGTTCGTTGATTGAGTGGCTGATTGATTGATTGGCTGATTGACTGATTGATTGATTGATTTCCAGGCTGTCAGGCAGTGAGGAGGTGGAGGAGGAGGGACAGTGGAGGCTCTACTTCAAACTCTACTGTTTCCTGGATGTAGAGAGCATGCCCAAGGAAGGGGTGGAGTTCGCTTTCATGTTCGAACAGGTTAGTTCCATTTTCGTGCTATTATTAGAAAGCACCTGAGTAGAAAAGTGTCTACAATGTCAAACGGAAAAGTTAAAGAAACAAGAAAATAAAAAAACCTGGGACAAGAGAGGATGTTGAGAGAGAAGTACAAAAATGGAAAACCATACTTTAGTAGCTCAGAAAGTGAAATTGATGAGAATGACATGGAGTTTGAAAGAGTTGAAGAGAGAGAGGATTACGTGTTTTTTTTTTTTATGAAGGAGCGGATTCGGCACTGCAAGGTGTGGAGGCTGATGTTTCTGTGGAGAGTGGGACGAAAGGAAAGGATGACTAATATGATTCTGGCCCAGTGGCTGTTGAGTCGGTGAAAGTAACTCAAAGTGGACTCGTGATAATTTTTTTTGCGTTTCATCCGTCCAGAGGGAACAGGCGCTCTGCACTGTGACTTGCTTTGCTCTCCGGAGCAGGGTGCCGTTGAAATGAGTGATAAATGGCGTTAAGTGTTGAGGAGGATCAACTGAAATGGAAGATTCCTGGTGTCTGTGATGCCCGCTGTTTGGTGCGACGTAGTGTCGGACGGTGTGCAGACCCGGTGGAGAGCGTGGTGAAATAGAGAAGGCACTGTCTGTCCTGCTGAGCTTTGATGCTGTCTTTACCCGACAAAGTCAAGTTAGGATGTGTCAGTTATCCAGTGAGAACTTTTGTCCCAAACCCATTATGGTGTTTTAGGTGCCAAGCTTATGGTCACGTTGCAGCAGTGTGTAAAAGGGAGATTTCTAGATGTGAGAAGTGTGCAGGAAGGGCATGAGACAAAGGAATGTGTAGCAGTGGAGGCTGCTGAGGGGAGGATGGCTCATAATAATGGCTGTAATGGAGTGCAATGGCTGGAATGGAGTGAATGGAATGGTATCAAACACATGAATGTCTTTGATACTATTCAATTCACTCCATTCCAGCCATTATTATGAGCCATCCTCCCCTCAGCAGCCTCCACTGATGTGTAGTATCAGTGGAAAAAGTTGTGTGTGTTAACTGTAGGGGTTCCTATGGTGCTGGAAATCTGAGGTGTCCGGTGAGAGAAAGGCAGGTTGAGGTTGCCAGGATCAGAGTAGTGCAGAAGGCAGTGGGGAGAGTAGGAGAGGAAGGGGTCCAGGGCGAGGGATCCTAGGAGGCTCCCTGTGAGTGGAGAGTAGGAGAGGAAGGGGTCCAGGGCGAGGGATCCTAGGAGGCTCCCTGTGAGTGGAGAGTAGGAGAGGAAGGGGTCCAGGGCGAGGGATCCTAAGAGGCTCCCTGTGGGTGGAGAGTAGGGGAGTCCAGGGGTCCCTGTGGGTGGAGAGTAGGAGAGGAAGGGGTCCAGGGCGAGGGATCCTGTGAGGCTCCCTGTGAGTGGAGAGTAGGAGAGGAAGGGGTCCAGGGCGAGGGATCCTAAGAGGCTCCCTGTGAGTAGGCTGAGGCCAATAGAGAGTGACAGGAATAACACGTTTCAGTAAGGTTGGTTTCTTAGCCTTCATAGCCATGGTTATCAGCTGTACCACAGAGATGGAACGTAAATCACAGAAAATAGATGTTGTGGTGGCAGCTGCAGAGAAGTACTTGGGTGTAAGAGATTTTACTGCAGAAGAGTTACAAGGTGTGTTGAACGATAGTGTCCCGTCCGCCCAGGCTGACGGCATCGAGTAGGATCAGATAAGGCCAAAGTAATGGAATAGTGGTCCCGTTTAGCTCAGTTGGTAGAGCATGGCGCTTGCAATGCCAGGGTTGTGGGTTCGTTTCCCATAGGGGACCAGTATGAAAAACTATGAAAATGTATGCATTCACTAACTGTAGGGTTAGTTGGTATAGTGGTGAGGTTTTAATGGGTGTAGGGTTAGTTGGTATAGTGGTGAGGTTTTAATGGGTGTAGGGTTAGTTGGTATAGTGGGGAGGTTTTAATGGGTGTAGTGGTGAGGTTTTAATGGGTGTAGGGTTAGTTGGAATAGTGGTGAGGTTTTACTGGGTGTAGGGTTAGTTGGTATAGTGGTGAGGTTTTAATGGGTGTAGTGTTAGTTGGTATAGTGGTGAGGTTTTAATGGGTGTAGGGTTAGTTGGTATAGTGGTGAGGTTTTAATGGGTGTAGGGTTAGTTGGTATAGTGGTGAGGTTTTAATAGGTGTAGTGTTAGTTGGTATAGTGGTGAGGTTTTAATGGGTGTAGGTTTAGTTGGTATAGTGGTGAGGTTTTAATGGGTATAGTGTTAGTTGGTATAGTGGTGAGGTTTTAATGGGTTTACGTTAGCTTCCGTTTAAGAAACATTTTTCAACAGATTCGGTGGAATGAATACACCCCTGATCAGACGCAAACACAGTTCACTTTCATAGCAGCCACACACAGCAGGGTCCCTTAGATTTTTGGGTAATTCCTTCTCGCATCTACGCGCTCTCCTCCTCTCACCTTTTCCCTTCGCTTGTGGACTTCAGTGCACAACACATCAGCTGTCTGTGACCAGGCGAAAAAACCTTTCCAAGCCAAACCTTCATATCATGACCGCTAACTGCTACACACAGCCTACATCGTTTTCACCATATTAGCTAAAGTAACGTCATAGTCAACATAGCTACTACAACTAACGTGTTAGTAAACCCGCTACAATCATGCAGTACAGTGTACACTTAGCAAGCAGTTTAGCAGTTACACCGGCGGGCCCCGGTGGCAATCAATTAGTAAAACCAAAAGCTTACCTTGACTTGGAAGAGTTCCAGTGTTGGATAGCCATAGCCAGCTAGCTAACATACAGTAGCATCCCTCTCTATTTGAGCCAGGTGTTTGAGTAGGCTAAACTAGCTAGCTGCATTCGCTAGCTAAGTAAGTAAAAGTGAAAGTGAAAAATATATAAATATGTAGCTAGCACTCTCTCTCTTTCTCTCTCTCTCTCACGCTCTCTCTCTCTCTGTCTCTCTCTCCTCTCTCTCTCTCTTTCTCTCTCTCACGCTCTCTCTCTCTCTCTGTCTCTCTCTCTCTCTCTCTCTCATTCACTCACTCACTCACTCACTCACTCACTCTCTCGCTCTCTCTCTTCTCCTTCATTTTTGAAGAAATGTATTTGTTAATTAACTGTTCAACTATTGTCTCTCTCTCTCTTTGAGTCAACTACTCACCACATTTTATGCACTGCAGTGCTAGCTAGCTGTAGCTTATGCTTTCAGTACTAGATTAATTATCTGATCCTTTGATTGGGTGGACAACATGTCAGTTCATGCTGCAAGAGCTCTGATAGGTTGGAAGACATCCTCCGGAAGTTATCATAATTACTATGGAAGTGGGTGAGAACCACGAGCCTCCTAGGTTTTGTGTTGAAGTCAATGTACCCAGAGGAGGACGTAAACTAGCTGTCCTCCGGCTACACCATGGTGCTACCCTACAGAGTGCTGTTGACCTTCTTTGCAAAACAGTGTGTTTTTAATCAATTATTTGGTGACACAAATATATTTAGTATAGTTTTATCTAAAAAGGATAACTTTTTAAAAGTTTCACTATTTTTATTTTTATGAAATTCACTGAGGACGAATATTGTATATATATTGTAAATATTGTAAAGTGGTTATCCCACTGGCTATAAGGTGAATGCACCAATTTGTAAGTCGCTCTGGATAAGAGTGTCTGCTAAATGATGTAAATGTAAATGTAATGTCCTCCCCTTCCTCCTCTGAGGAGCCTCCACTGACAGGGAGACTGTGATGAGCCTCACACTCCATTACAGTAGGTGGCGGTGTATGCACCTCTCGGTTGCGACCCACCAATACAAATTTAAAGAAGAAGAACAAGAATACGCTCCGCCATTCAATGTTCGTTTTTACTACCTGAACATGGAGACATGCCGTATCATTCTCCCCGCAGCCCATGGAGGCAGTGCTGTCGCTTGGTTCCTTGATCTGATCTATAGCCTATTTTTGCATTGATAACCAAATATATCCTATTTTGCATTGATAACCAAATGTAATCTCAGCGACTGTTCAAAAAGGTATTTTGTTTAGAAGTAATAACTAGTGATATTTGGTAAAACAACTAACGTTAACTAGCCATGTGCTTTTTTCTCCTTGACCAAAACATGACGTTCTATTTTTAGCTGATAGGAGAATGAATACACAAGAAGCCTATCAAACTGGGATAATGTTTTACACTAGCAAGAATAAGGCCAGGGCATACAGTGAGGGAAAAAAGTATTTGATCCCCTGCTGATTTTGTACGTTTGCCCACTGACAAAGAAATGATCAGTCTATCATTTTATGGTAGGTTTATTTGAACAGTGAGACAGAATAACAACAAAAAATTTCGCAAATGGAAGAAACACAAAAGAACTGTCAATCTCCCTCGGCCTGGGGCTCCATGCAAGATCTCACCTCGTGGAGTTGCAATGATCATGAGAACGGTGAGGAATCAGCCCAGAACTACACGGGAGGATATTGTCAATGATCTCAAGGCAGCTGGGACCATAGTCACCAAGAAAACAATTGGTAACACACTACGCCTTGAAGGACTGAAATCCTGCAGCGCCCGCAAGGTCTCCCTGCTCAAGAAAGCACATATACAGGCCCGTCTGAAGTTTGCCAATGAACATCTGAATGATTCAGAGGAGAACAGGGTGAAAGTGTTGTGGTCAGATGAGACCAAAATCGAGCTCTTTGGCATCAACTCAACTCGCCGTGTTTGGAGGAGGAATGCTGCCTATGTCCCCAAGAACACCATCCCCACCATCAAACATGGAGGTGGAAACATTATGCTTTGGGGGTGTTTTTCTACTAAGGGGACAGGACAACTTCACCGCATCAAAGGGACGATGGACGGGGCCATGTACCGTCAAATCTTGGGTGAGAACCTCCTTCCCTCAGCCAGGGCATTGAAAATGAGTCGTGGATGGGTATTCCAGCATGACAATGACCAAAAACACACGGCCAAGGCAACAAAGGAGTGGCTCATGAAGAAGCACATTAAGGTCCTGGAGTGGCCTAGCCAGTCTCCAGACCTTAATCCCATAGAAAATCTGTGGAGGGAGCTGAAGGTTCGAGTTGCCAAACGTCAGCCTCGAAACCTTAATGACTTGGAGAAGATCTGCAAAGAGGAGTGGGACAAAATCCCTCCTGAGATGTGTGCAAACCTGGTGGCCAACTACAAGAAACGTCTGACCTCTGTGATTGCCAACAAGGGTTTTGCCACCAAGTACTAAGTCATGTTTTGCAGAGGGGTCAAATACTTATTTCCCTATTAAAATCTCTTTTATAAATAGACAGCGTTTTTCTGGATTCATGTTGTTTTCTGTCTCTCATTTCAAATAAACCTACCAGAAATATAGACTGTCGTCTTTGTCATGGGCAAACTTACAAATGCCAAATTTTTTTCCCTTCACTATATTTATTGAATATAAATCTATATTTCACAATAGATGTGGGAAGCTAAATAGCTAGCTGCTAGTGTTAGCCACCTGCCACTCGGCACTACTACAGGAAGGCGATCTTCCTCCTTTCATTGGCTGTGCGAAGTTGCTGGATATTGGGTGGAACTGGAACACGCTGTTGTACACAGTGATCCAGAGCATCCCAAACATGCTCAATGGGTGACATGTCTGGTGAGTATGCAGGCCATGGAAGAACTGGGACATTTTCAGCTTCCAGGAATTGTGTACAGATCCTTGCGACATGGGCCGTGCATTATCATGCTGAAACATGAGGTGATGGCAGCGGATGAATGGCACTACAATGGGTTTAGGAACTTACATTTACATTTTAGTCATTTAGCAGACGCTCTTATCCAGAGCGACTTACAGTTAGTGAGTGCATACATTATTTTAAATTACATTTTTCATACTGGCCCCCCGTGGGAATCGAACCCACAACCCTACCTAAGCCTACATATCAATACATATACACAAACTATCTAGGTCAAATAGGGGAGAGGCGTTGTGAGGTGTTGTTTTATCTGTTTTTTAAACCAGGTTACTGTTTATTTGAGCAATATGAGATGGAACGAAAAGCTCTATATAATACTGTACGCTGTCTTGAATTTGTTCTGGATTTGGGGACCTTGAAAAGACCCCTGGTGGCATGTCTGGTGGGGTAAGTGTGTGTGTCAGAGCTGTGTGTATGTTGATTATGCAAACAATTTGGAATTTTCAACACATTCATGTTTCTTATAAAAAGAAGAAGTGATGCAGTCACTTATGGTAGAGAAATACAAATTAAATTCTCTGGCATCAGCTCTGGTGGACATTCCTGCAGTCAGCATGCTTATTGATATGCCACACCTGCCAGGTGGATGGATTATCTTGGCCAAGGAGAAATGCTCACTAACAGGGATGTAAACAAATTTGTGCACAACAATTTGAGAGAAATAAGCTTTTTTGTGTGCGTGGAAAATGTATGGGATCTTTTATTTCAGCTCATGAAACATGAGACCATGAAACATGTTGCGTTTATATTTTTGTTCAGTATATAAATGTAATGTTATGTAAACGTAAAAATAATGTTAATGTCATTTAATGTAAATACAATTGTAATGTATATGTAAATGTACTGTAATGTTAATGTAATAATATACATGCCTCCTCCAGGCCCATGAGTCTCTGACCAACGGTCACTTCCCGGCCCCAGAGGACACCCTGCAGCACCTGGCTGCTCTCAGGCTCCAGTTCCTTCACGGGGACAAGGCCCGGGTCAGCTGGTCTCTGGACAACGTCTACCCTGTAGGGAGGCTCCGTGCACGCATCCTGCACTTCACCAAGGTACTTATATATGTTTCATAAGCCCTCAGGTTTACAGTGCATTCGGAAAGTATTCAGACCCCTTGACCTTTTCCACATTTTGTTACGTTACAGCCTTATTCTAAAATTCATTAAATTGATCAATCTACACACTATACCCCATAATGACAAAGCAAAAACATTTTTTTTGAAATTTTTGCAAATATATTACAAATGAACTACTGAAATAACACATTTACATAAGTATTCAGACCTTTTACTCAGTACTTTGTTGAAGCATTACAGCCCAGAGTCTTCTTGGGTATGACGCTACAAGCTTGGCACACCTGTATTAGGGGAGTTTCTCCCATTCTTCTCTGCAGATCGTCTCAAGCTCTGTCAGGTTGGATGGGGAGCATCGCTGCACAGCTATTTTCAGGTCTCTCCAGAGATGTTTGATCAGGTTCAAGTCCAGGCTCTGGCTGGGCCACTCAAGGACATTCAGAGACTTGTCCCGAAGCCACTCCTGCATTGTCTTGGCTATGTGCTTAGGGTCGTTGTCCTGTTGGAAAGTGAAGCTTCGCCCCCAGTCTGAGGTCCTGAGTGCTCTGGAGCAGGTTTTCATCAAGGATCTCTCTGTACTTTGCTCCGTTCATCTTTCCCTCGATCCTGACTAGTCTTCCAGTCCCTGCCGCTGAAAAACATCCCCAGAGCATGATGCTGCCACCACCATGCTTCACCGTAGGGATGGTGCCAGATTTCCTCCAGACATGACGCTTTGCATTCAGGCCAAATAGTTCAATCTTGGTTTCATCAGACCAGAGAATCTTGTTTCTCATGGTCTGAGAGTCCTTTAGGTACCTTTTGGCAAACTCCAAGCGGACTGTCATGTGCCTTTTACTGAGGAGTGGCTTCCGTCTACCATAAAGGCCTGATTGGTGGAGTGCTGCAGAGATGGTTGATCTTCTGGAAGGTTCCAATTTTTCTAAAAACCTGTTTTCGCTTTGTCATTATGGGTATTGTGTGTAGATTGATGAGGGAAAAAATGTATTTAATACATTTTTAGAATAAGGCTGTAACATAACAAAATGTGGAAAACGTCAAGGGGTCTGAATACTTTCCGAATGCACTGTATGTATCTCTGATGTATGTTGTTGCTGTATGTTGCCTTTGCTGGTGACAAATCCCACTTAGGTAAGTTACACTCCATTGTTTTATGTAGGTGGACTAATAAAGTAGTGTATAGGGACTAATAATTGTATAGGTGGACTAATAAAGTTGTATTGAATAGGTGGACTAATAAAGTTGTATTTATTTGTATAGGTGGGTGCAGCTGGAGCGGCGGGGCCTGTGGGCCACACCCTTGAGCGGAGGCGGACCAGCTTCCTGGATGGGACCCTGCGCCGCAGCAGGCTGAAGACGGGCTCCATGAAGAAACAGAAGATGGAGGAGGAACAGGTAGCGGTTAGAGAAGCAGGAAGGTTGCCGGTCAAATCTCAGCTCCAGTGAAACTGGAGGTTTGCTGGCTGGCATCATCCTAGATGCCATCGCCTGCCCTTGAGCCCTTGAGCAAGGTACCAATAAAGTCTTGTTCTTGTTCAGATGCTGGAGATGTGGGTGAAGGAGGAGACTTCAGCCACCAGAACCTCCATCGTAGAGAAGTGGTCCAGACTCCAGGGACTGGACCAGCACACTGCCATGCTCAAATACATGGCCATCATCAAGGAGTGGCCCGGATATGGGTCCACACTGTTTGACGTAGAGGTAACTACATGACAACACAGACTAGCTTCCTGTCCAAGGGGTGGACATCAACCTCCCTCACACTACAGAAACAGGAGATAGGGCCCTATGGGCCATTCTGGCTCGGACAAAGCTAACTTACTTTACTTACATGTGGACCGGTACTGTATAGATCAGTGGTTCCCAAACTAGGGGTCGCGGGAGAGTTTCCAAAATGATCTTGGTGATCCCAAATCCCCCCCCCCCTCCCCCAATGTGGTTAACCTTCAAAATCTAAATGAAAATTATTCAAATCTAAATGATACAATTCAACCAGAGAGCGCCCTAAGATGATGGGGAAAAGCCGCACTTGACCGTTGCCCTTGAATCATTCCCAAGGTGAATGGCTAGGTCCGCTATGCTGTGAAACCACACACTAGTGCAGAGACTTTGATATTACCGGACGTAACTGATATAGTTAAAACAATGTGTGGGGAGGCAGAGGCACAGACACTCCCATCAATACCTTTGTCAGATAACGCTGTTAAACAAAGAAATTATGCTATTTCTAGCAATCAAGAGGAAACTGACTGAACAACTCACTCTCCAGTTTATGCTCTCCAGATGGACGTTAGCTGTGAGGGCCAAGATGCCCATGCATTGACTTTAGTTCGCTACATGTCGGAGGACGCTATTCACAAGGACATATTGTTCTGTCTCATGATTCCCGAGCATGAAACGGCAAAAGGGATGTTCAGTGTGCTGCGTGGCTATATTGACGAAAAACTGATTCCAAATCAAATCAAATACACATATTTAGCAGATGTTATTGCGGGTGTAGCAAAATGCTTGTGTTTCTAGTTCCAACAGTGCAGTAGTATCTAATAATTCACAACAATACACACAAATCTAAAAGTAAAATAATGAAATTAAGAAATATATAAATATTAGGATGAGCAATGTCGGAGTGGCATTGACTAAAATACAGTAGAATAGAATACAGTATATACACTCAGCAAAAAAAGAAACGTCCCCTTTTCAGGACCCTGTCTTTCAAAGATAATTCTTAAAAATCCAAATAACTTCACAGATCTTCATTGTAAAGGGTTTAAACACTGTTTCCCATGCTTGTTCAATGAACCATAAACAATAAATGAACATGAACCTGTGGAACGGTCGTTAAGACACTAACAGCTTACAGACGGTAGGCAATTAAGGTCACAGTTATGAAAACTTAGGACACTAAAGAGGCCTTTCTACTGACTCTGAAAAACACCAAAAGAAAGATGCCCAGGGTCCCTGCTCATCTGCGTGAACGTGCCTTAGGCATGCTGCAAGGAGGCATGAGGACTGCAGATGTGGCCAGGGCAATAAATTGCAATGTCTGTACTGTGAGACGCCTAAGACAGCGCTACAGGGAGACAGGATGGACAGCTGATCGTCCTCGCAGTGGCAGACCACGTGTAACAACACCTGCACAGGATCGGTACATCCGAACATCACACCTGCGGGACAGGTACAGGATGGCAACAACAACTGCCCGAGTTACACCAGGAACGCAAGGAAAGGCTGGACTGAGGGCTTGTAGGCCTGTTGTAAGGCAGGTCCTCACCAGACATCACCGGCAACAACGTCGCCTATGGGCACAAACCCACTCTTGCTGGACCAGACAGGACTGGCAAAAAGTGCTCTTCACTGACGAGTCGCAGTTTTGTCTCACATGGGGTGATGGTCGGATTCACGTTTATCGTCGAAGGTATGAGCATTACACCGAGGCCTGTATCGATTTGGAGGTGGCGGGTCCGTCATGGTCTGGGGCGGTGTGTCACAGCATCATCGGACTGAGCTTGTTGTCATTGCAGGCGATCTCTTTGTCTTGAAAGCACCATAAACCTCATGGTACCCTCCATCAGCTCCTATCTGTGTGAAGCTGGATTCAGTGCTCTCGTCTGCATTAAAACCAAATATCGATCCAGGTTGGATGTGACAGCAGAGATGAGGTGAGCACTGTCGACCACGCCCCCTGACTTTGAGAAGCTCCAACGACATGCATCAAGCCACACCCATCTCATTAGTGGTGGAGAGATAAGATACATTATGTCAGACTAATTTGCATTTGACTGTCATAGCCCCGCGTTAAAAGTATGTGATGGTGAGTTGAGAAGACAATCAGAAATACTGTTAGAATGTTTTTCAATTGACTGCCAATATTGGCTGTTTTACATGGCTGGGGTCCCGAGAATTTTCAGATATCAAAAAAGGTTTGGGAACCCCTGGTTTAGATAGTATGGGGACTGTATCTGGTTTAGATAGTATGGGACTGTATCTGGTTTAGATAGTATGGGGACTGTATCTGGTTTAGATAGATAGTATGGGGACTGTATCTGGTTTAGATAGATAGTATGGGGACTGTATCTGGTTTAGATAGTATGGGACTGTATCTGGTTTAGATAGTATGGGGACTGTATCTGGTTTAGATAGATAGTATGGGGACTGTATCTGGTTTAGATAGATAGTATGGGGACTGTATCTGGTTTAGATAGTATGGGGACTGTATCTGGTTTAGATAGATAGTATGGGGACTGTATCTGGTTTAGATAGTATGGGGACTGTATCTGGTTTAGATAGATAGTATGGGGACTGTATCTGGTTTAGATAGATAGTATGGGGACTGTATCTGGTTTAGATAGATAGTATGGGGACTGTATCTGGTTTAGATAGATAGTATGGGGACTGTATCTGGTTTAGATAGATAGTATGGGGACTGTATCTGGTTTAGATAGATAGTATGGGGACTGTATCTGGTTTAGATAGATAGTATGGGGACTGTATCTGGTTTAGATAGATAGTATGGGGACTGTATCTGGTTTAGACAGATAGTATGGGGACTGTATCTGGTTTAGATAGATAGTATGGGGACTGTATCTGGTTTAGAATCTCTTAACTCCAGGTAAAGTTTCTTAATAACGTCAATCACATTGTATCAGGGAAGGTAAGAAGAGAAGAATGATTGAAAATAGCTTGCTGGTTTCCACTGCCAGGGCTCTGACCTGTATGTGTCTGTGAGAGGGGATGAGAGAGAGAGAGAAGAGAGGAGCGAGGAAAAAAAAGAGAGGAGAGAGAGCGCGAGGAGGAGAGAGAGAGGGAGATGAGAGCGAAGAGCGAGGGAGAGAGAGAGAGAGAGAGAGCTCTCTTGGTCTCTCTCTCTCACCCCCCTCTCTCTCTCTCTCTCTCTCTCTCTCTCTCTTCATCTTCTCTCGATTCTCTCTCATCTCTATCGCTCTCTGTGTCCTCAGTGTAAGAAGGAGGCTTTCCTCATGACCTGTGGCTGAGTGTGAGTGCAGAGAACGTGTCGGTCTACAAGAGAGGAGAACCCAAACCTCTAGAGACATTCCCCTACGAACACATCATCTTCTTCGGCGCTCCGCAGGCCGCTACCTATAAGATCACAGTGGACGACAGAGAGATGTTCTTTGAGACACCTCTGGTACAGTATACCACCATAATACAACATTAGAGAAATAGTAGCCTGGTCCCAGGTCTGTTTATAACACCAGATTATAAATGACCAGTAGTAGCCTGGTCCAGGTCTGTTTATAAACACCAGATTATAAATGACCAGTAGTAGTCTGGTCCCAGGTATGTTTATAACACCAGATTATAAATGACACAGTAGCCTGGTCCCAGGTCTGTTTAAACACCAGATTATAAATGACCAGTAGTAGCCTGGTCCCAGGTCTGTTTAAACACCAGATTATAAATGACCAGTAGTAGCCTGGTCCAGGTCTGGTTTATAACACCAGATTATAAATGACCAGTAGTAGCCTGGTCCCAGGTCTGTTTATAACACCAGATTATAAATGACCAGGTAGTAGCATGGTCCAGGTTGTTTATAACACCAGATTATAAATGACCAGTAGTAGCTGGTCCCAGGTCTGTTTATAACACCAGATTATAAATGACCAGTAGTAGCCTGGTCCCAGGTCTGTTTATAACACAGATTATAAATGACCAGTAGTAGCCTGGCCCAGGTCTGTTATAACACAGATTATAAATGACCAGTAGTAGCCTGGTCCCAGGTCTGTTTATAACACCAGATTATAAATGACCAGTAGTAGCCTGGTCCCAGGTCTGTTTATAACACCAGATTATAAATGACCAGTAGTAGCCTGGTCCCAGGTCTGTTTATAACACCAGATTATAAATGACCAGTAGTAGCCTGGTCCCAGGTCTGTTTATAACACCAGATTATAAATGACCAGTAGTAGCCTGGTCCCAGGTCTGTTTATAACACCAGATTATAAATGACCAGTAGTAGCCTGGTCCCAGGTCTGTTTATAACACCAGATTATAAATGACCAGTAGTAGCCTGGTCCCAGGTCTGTTTATAACACCAGATTATAAATGACCAGTAGTAGCCTGGTCCCAGGTCTGTTTATAACACCAGATTATAAATGACCAGTAGTAGCCTGGTCCCAGGTCTGTTTATAACACCAGATTATAAATGACCAGTAGTAGCCTGGTCCCAGGTCTGTTTATAACACCAGATTATAAATGACCAGTATAGCCTGGTCCCAGGTCTGTTTATAACACCAGATTATAAATGACCAGTAGTAGCCTGGTCCCAGGTCTGTTTATAACACCAGATTATAAATGACCAGTAGTAGCCTGGTCCCAGGTCTGTTTATAACACCAGATTATAAATGACCAGTAGTAGCCTGGTCCCAGGTCTGTTTATAACACCAGATTATAAATGACCAGTAGTAGCCTGGTCCCAGGTCTGTTTATAACACCAGATTATAAATGACCAGTAGTAGCCTGGTCCCAGGTCTGTTTATAACACCAGATTATAAATGACCAGTAGTAGCCTGGTCCCAGGTCTGTTTATAACACCAGATTATAAATGACCAGTAGTAGCCTGGTCCAGGTCTGTTTATAACACCAGATTATAATGACCAGTAGTAGCCTGGTCCCAGGTCTGTTTATAACACCAGATTATAAATGACCAGTAGTAGCCTGGTCCCAGGTCTGTTTATAACACCAGATTATAAATGACCAGTAGTAGCCTGGTCCCAGGTCTGTTTATAACACCAGATTATAAATGACCAGTAGTAGCCTGGTCCCAGGTCTGTTTATAACACCAGATTATAAATGACCAGTAGTAGCCTGGTCCCAGGTCTGTTTATAACACCAGATTATAAATGACCAGTAGCCTGGTCCCAGGTCTGTTTATAACACCAGATTATAAATGGGACCAGTTCAGTAAGCCTGGTCCCAGGTCTGTTTATAACACCAGATTATAAATGACCAGTAGTAGCCTGGTCCCAGGTCTGTTTATAACACCAGATTATAAATGACCAGTAGTAGCCTGGTCCCAGGTCTGTTTATAACACCAGATTATAAATGACCAGTAGTAGCCTGGTCCCAGGTCTGTTTATAACACCAGATTATAAATGACCAGTAGTAGCCTGGTCCCAGGTCTGTTTATAACACCAGATTATAAATGACCAGTAGTAGCCTGGTCCCAGGTCTGTTTATAACACCAGATTATAAATGACCAGTAGTAGCCTGGTCCCAGGTCTGTTTATAACACCAGATTATAAATGACCAGTAGTAGCCTGGTCCCAGGTCTGTTTTCACTCATGCCAACTCCATTAGTGTCAACAGACATATTTGGCATGACAATGAACGACAGGGAATTGACATGATAGCACTCCAGGCTAGCCTTTCAGAACTTCACCCAACAAGGCCTTGGCTGTTATGATGCTTCTAAACATGTGTCTGTTCAGTGTGCATCGTTCAGTTGTTTGTTTTCCCTGCTGTTAAAACTCTATCATCTGTGGTGTTTCAGGTTGGAGAGATCACCAAGATCATGAAAGCCTACATCAACACGATAGTGAAGAAGAGATGCAGTGTCAGATCTGTGTCCAGCTACGGAACCAACTGGATCAGGTAATTAGGGGGACGGGACCCGGACAGAACACAGCCCAGTTGGCTTCCCACCGCCTCTGAACAGAAGGCTAAAAGGCTAGCACTGCAAGGCTAACCAGCAGGGTCCATGAAGACAGGAAGGACTGTTCTCCTCAACTCAGATGTCTGGATAACTGAAGTAAGGCTGATATTCAGTTACTCAAGAAGCTCGTCCAACTCCGGTGTCCCCCAGTGTGTACGCCAAGCCAACATTCAGAACATTCTACAATACGTCGAGCTGAAGGCTCCACTGCTTTCCCCAACCGTTGCATATTGCTTTTCTACAGCTGTCGACAAGAGTGGATACCGCGTTAATTTCTGCCATTTTTTAAATCAACTTATCAATAGTATGGACCGATCACGATGTCGCATCAAATGAACTTTTGCATCAAGTTGTACCATTTCAAATACCTTTCCAATGGATTGAGATTCAGATTGAGTGAGAAATGTCCCTGACTAGCTACCCTTCCTTATCAGAATGTTTTTATTATTATTATTATAACATATGTTAATGTATGGGCACCCAACTATACCGGTATATATTTACAATGAGAAGAAGTTATTTGTCTAAGTAGGGTTGAAATACTTCCCCTCAGGTTTGACGAGCAATAGGAGTTGATTCCCAAACCAACCACCGACCCGGGGAGTTGAACCTCTTTACATTTGAATGCCTTAAATAGTTTCACTGCTTCCATCCATATTGTTATTTGTTTATTTTGGGCTATAAGTCATAGTTTAGCCTTTCTGGAATGGCGTCCCCAAGCCAGGGTTATGTCAGGGTTAATAACCAGTTATAACACTAGTGGCAGAGGCTGCTATTCTATAGCCTGGTCCGAGATCGGTTTGTGCTTTTGCCTACTCTGATTATCAAGCTAAACATGTTTGGAATGACAATTCCATAAGCTGGTACCCAAGCTAGCCATTCTACCCAGTGCCTGAGAAGCAGGTTTTAACTCTGGTGAAATGACACTTGCCTTTTATAAATCAAATATGACTAGAACAAACCAATACAGGCGGCAGGTAGCTTAGTGGTTAGAGCGTTGTGCCAGTAACCGAAAGGTCGCTGGTTCTAATCCCCGAGCCGACTAGGTGAAAAATCTGTCGATGTGCCCTTGAGCAAGGCACTTAACCCTAATTGCTCCTGTAAGTCGCTCTGGATAAGAGCGTCTGCTAAATGACACAAAAAAAAAAAAAAAATACATAATCCATTGCTTCATATTACTACTTTATTTAGGTTATTATTTATTTACACTAAAGGCGGTATTCAGTAAAAGCAGTGGTTAATATAAAACATTTGGCTTATTTCTGTAGAACATGATTATAGAATTTAGTCTCTGGTATTTTAATTTAAATGTTTTATTTGCTATTTTGATTTGAAAACAGTTTTGTCCTTGTAATGAAATGTTTTGTGACTGAAACTGTTGAAAGAGAGTGTGATGCGTTGATGAAATGAGCAGGATGGTACTTCTGTTACTGAAGTATTGGATTGTTGGTCACAAGCGATAGAGCAGGGTTCCCCATTTGGCACCCCAACTTTTAAGAGCAAATATTATTAAAAAATGTTGGACACAAAAGACTGTAAAAAAACCTGCAACTCTCAGCTCCAAGTGTTTAGAATTTTTTGAAATGTGTTCCAGAGTATTCCCACACATAATAGAAACGCACTGAGTGTACAAAACATTAAGAACACCTTCCTAATATTGAGTTGCACCCCAGCCCTTTTGTCCTCAGAACAGCCTCAATTCGTCGGGGCATGGACTCAAGGTGTCGAAAGCGTTCCACAGGGATGCTGGCCCATGTTGACTCCAATGCTTCCCACAGTTGTGTCACCTGGTCAGTCTATGTCATGGAAAGACCAGGTGTTCATAATGTTTTGTACACTCAGTGTATATGTGATTGTAAACAAATGTAAGCAATGTTTTGAAATTATTATGTTTTAGTCAAATATTATATCTGTTTGGGATTTTTGCGGTCAATTTGCAGTCTACAAATTATTTGTCATGATGTTCCAGCCCCCCCCCGACCATCGATCCCCCTGCTGAGGATGTGTCATCGTGGGAGGGTGGTTGGGGTGTTTACTGAGTGTCATTCTGATAGTCAGGAAGAGACGGTCAGGAGGACTCACCAGCAGGAAGAGACGGTCAGGAGGACTCACCAGCAAACACAGTGAGTCGTGTGGAACAGAGATGGAGCCATACAGATGAGGGAGGCTGGAGGTAACAGCCTTGGAAGGTGAAAAGCCCGTGACAGAGACTGAGATGGAGGCTATGTGTCACTCATACTACAGTCCACACTGACAGTGTGAGTACATTGTCATTATCCGGGTTTAAATTGCACTTAGCCCTGGGCTGAGAACTGGAATAAAGCTCAACATCACATGGAGTAAACCAGGCTATAGTGTGATAACGTTGTGATAACATGACAGTGTGATGACAACATTGTGATAACATGACAGTGTGATGACAACATTGTGATAACATGACAGTGTGATGATAACATTGTGATAACATGACAGTGTGATGACAACATTGTGATAACATGACAGTGTGATGATAACATTGTGATAACATGACAATGTGATGATAACATTGTGATAACATGACAGTGTGATGATAACATTGTGATAACATGACAGTGTGATGATAACATTGTGATAACATGACAGTGTGATGATAACATTGTGATAACATGACAGTGTGATGATAACATTGTGATAACATGACAGTGTGATGATAACATTGTGATAACATGACAGTGTGATGATAACATTGTGATAACATGACAGTGTGATGATAACATTGTGATAACATGACAGTGTGATGATAACATTGTGATAACATGACAGTGTGATGATAACATTGTGATAACATGACAGTGTGATGATAACATTGTGATAACATGACAGTGTGATGATAACATTGTGATAACATGACAGTGTGATGATAACATTGTGATAACATGACAGTGTGATGATAACATTGTGATAACATGACAGTGTGATGATAACATTGTGATAACATGACAGTGTGATGACAACATTGTGATAACATGACAGTGTGATGACAACATTGTGATAACATGACAGTGTGATGATAACATTGTGATAACATGACAGTGTGATGATAACATTGTGATAACATGACAGTGTGATGATAACATTGTGATAACATGACAGTGTGATGACACATTGTGATAACATGACAGTGTGATGATAACATTGTGATAACATGACAGTGTGATGAATAACATTGTGATAACATGACAGTGTGATGATAATATTGTGATAACATGACAGTGTGATGATAACATTGGTGATAACATGACAGTGTGATGACAACATTGTGATAACATGACAGTTGTGATGATAAACATTGTGATAAATGACAGTGTGATGACAACATTGTGATAACATGACAGTGTGATGACAACATTGTGATAACATGACAGTGTGATGACAACATTGTGATAACATGACAGTGTGATGATAACATTGTGATAACATGACAGTGTGATGATAACATTGTGATAACATGACAGTGTGATGATAACATTGTGATAACATGACAGTGTGATGATAACATTGTGATAACATGACAGTGTGATGACAACATTGTGATAACATGTATACCTCCCACCCAGCATCACTGACCCTGTCTGTCTGTCTGTCTGTCTGTCTGTCTGTCTCCCGTTGCTCAGCTCACTGTGGTTGCATCTCAAATGGCACCCTATTCCCTATATAGTGCACTACCAGGGCTCTGGTCAAAAGTAGTGCCCTATTGTATATAGTGAGTAGGGTGCCATTGGCGATGCAACCTGTCTGTCTGTGTTCTCTGGTCAGCTGCCGGGAGCCACACCTGTACCAAAACCATTTTATATTTTACTTTAGTTTATTAAGTCAATATTTTTCTTAACTCTTATTTTTCTTAAAACTGCATTGCTGGTTAATGGCTTGTAAGTAAGCATTTCACGGTATGACAAATACAATTTGATTTGATTTGATCATGACTGTTAGGTTCCCCCTTTTATAATTATTGTACCTTTCTGCTTGGCTGGAGAGAGAAACAAATCTGGAAAATATTTTTTTGTAACTGGATTTACAAAATGCTTTAATAAATGACTGTATTTCATAACCTGTTTGGTTTGTTGTCTGTACCTTGTGGGATTATATGCTGGTATAACTGATGGTGCTCCTGTTTCCACTCTTCTGCCTGCGGCTATGGAACCCTGACCTGTTCACCGGACGTGCTACCTTGTCCCAGACCTGCTGTTTTCAACTCTCTCTCTCTACCGCACCTGCTATTTCAACCTCTAAATGCCCGGCTATGAAAAGCCAAGTGACATTTACTCCTGATGTACTGACCTGTTGCAACCTCTACAACGTGGTCCTCTGTAGCTCAGCTGGTAGAGCACGGCGCTTGTAACGCCAAGGTAGTGGGTTCGATCCCCGGGACCACCCATACACAAAAAAATGTATGCACGCATGACTGTAAGTCGCTTTGGATAAAAGCGTCTGCTAAATGGCATATTATTATTTATTTATTATTATTATTTGACCCTGCTGGTCATCTATAAATGTTTGAACATCTTGGAGAAAAATCTGGCCTTAATGGCCATTTACTGTTATAATCTCCACCCGGCACAGCCAGAAGAGGACTGGCCACCCCTCAGAGCCTGGTTCCTCTCTAGGTTTCTTCCTAGGTTTCTGCCTTTCTAGGGAGTTTTTCCTAGCCACTGTGCTTCTACATCTGCATTGCTTGCTGTTGGGGGTTTTAGGCTGGGTTTCTGTATAGCACTTTGTGACACCTGCTGATGTAAAAAGGGCTTTATAAATACATTTGATTAATTGATTGGTTTGTTAGTTAGAGGATTATTTACATAACCTGTTTGATGTCTGTATCTTGTTCTCTATGCTGATAACTGGAATTTCAAATGTTTTAAATGTTTATTATAATTATATGTGCAGTAGTATGGTGCAGTAGTATGGTGCAGTAGTATGGTACAGTAGTATGGTGCAGTAGTATGGT